GGTGCCGGATCCATCATGGCCAAGCCTGCCAGCCGGCGCCAGATCTTGGCCAAGCCTATGCCAGGCCGTGGCCAAGCCGGTGCCAGATCCTGGCGAAGCCTGCCGGTGCCAGGTTGTGCCCAGGCCGGTCGGTGCCAGACCATGGCCAAGCCAAGCCTGCCGATGCCAGATCATGGCCAGGCCTAGCCGGCCGGTGCCAGATCGGAGCCAAGCCTGCCAGCCGGTGCCCGGCAGATGGAAGGATCATGGCCAAACCGGTGCCAGATCATGGACGAGCCCGCGCCACCCAGCTCATGGCTTGGCTAAGCCGACGCCAGGTCGTCCGTGCCCAAGGATGCCTGCCGGTGTGTGCCAGATCATGGCCCGGACCGCTGGCGCCAGGTCGTGGCCGAACCGCTGCAAAATCATGGCCAAGCAAGCCTGCCAGCCGGTGCCCGGCCATGGCCAAACCGGTGCCAGATCATGGCCGCGCCTGCGAGCGTCGGGCTGCCAACCTGCCCGCCGGTGCCAGATCATGGCCAGGCCGGTTCCGGGTGGTGCTGGTGGCCAGACCGGTGCCGGATCATGGCCAACCCGTTGCCAGATCATGGCCAAGCCGGTGCCAGATCATCGCCAAGCCGGTGCCAGGCAGGCCGTGTCCAAGCGAGCCGGCGCCACATCATGGCCAAGCCGGTGCCAAATCATGGCCACGCCGGTGCCAGATCATGGCCAAGCCGGTGCCAGGTCGTGGCCAAGCCGGTTCCGGGTCGCGGCCAAGGCGGTGCCAGGCAGATGATGGCCAAGCCGGCGCCAGAGGGATCATGGCCAAGCCGGCCCCGGGTCGTGGCCAGGCCTGCTTGCTCCAAGTCGTCCGCGGCCGCGCCCGCCGGTGCCAGATCATGGCCAAGCCGGTGCCAGGTCGTGGCTAAGCCGGTGCCGGATCATGGTCAAGCCGGTGCCAGGTCATCACCGAGCCGGTGCCAGATCATGGCCCGGCCGGTTCCAGATCATGGCCAAGCCCGCCGGTGCCAGGCAGGTCGTGGCCAGGCCGGTCGATGCCAGATCACAGCCAGGCCGGTGCTCGCTCATGCCCAAGCCGGTGCCAAGCCAAGCTGGTTCCGGGTCGTGGCCAAGCCAAGCTGGTTCCGGGTCTTGGCCAAGCCAAGCTGGTTCCGGGTCGTGGCCAAGCCGAAGCCGGTTCTAAATCATGGGGAGGCCAGCCAGCAAGCCGGTGCCAGATCATGGCAAAGCCGAGCCCTTGCGCCAGATCATGGCCAAGCCGGTGCCAGATGGATCACGGCCAAGCCCGCCTGCCGGTGCAAGGGCATCGCCAAGCCGGTGCGAGATCAAGGCCATGCCTGCCAGTGCCAGGTCGCGGCCATGCCGGTGCCAAAACATGGCCGCGCCGGTGCCAGATCATGGCCGTGCCGGTGCCCGATCATGCCCAAACCGGTGCCGGACCCTGGCCACGCCGGTGCCAGGCCCTGGCTAAGCCGATACCAGACCCTGGCCAAGCCGGTGCCCGACCATGCCCGCCCCCCGCCGCCAGATGGATCGCGGCCCCGCCGGTGCCAGCATGCAAGATGGCGGCAAGGGCCAACCTGCCAGCCGCGCCGGTGCCGGATCGTGGCCAAGCCGTTCTGGCGCTTTGAAAATCGCAGGCAGATGGGCCTGCCTGTGCTGAAGCGCCGACGACGATTTTCCACAGAAAGACGCTGAGTGCTACCATTCATCTAGCGGAATACTATTAAGTCTGCAGGTTACTGGACACGGGAAGCGGGATAAGGCTAGTTCACTCTGAGCATTGCGTGTGGCGTTTTTCTTTTTGTATCATTATTTCGACTTTCAGTTTACAATTGCATACTTCTTGCACTGCGTTACCGCTTGCCACCTGTTTTATCAATGGTCTAAAGACGAGAAACAAGAACAACAATGAATTTGGTCGACTGGGTCGGTATGGTTCGTAAGCCTGCAACACTGAGAGTTCCTCTTTGCTGTGATGCGTTACGGTTTTTTTCTCCTTCCATAACGCCGTTTGGGAACCACGAAGGAGAACCAATTAGGCCACTAGAAACGACACTGCTTGAAAACAGTCGGCGGCAGATAGAGGGACACGAAAAGCAGATGAGCGCCAGCCCCTTCGGGCCACGCGGACCGGAAGTATTGTCGCAAAGTCTCCTGGTGAACAGGGACGTCGGTGGAGGCACGGAAGGTTTGTTCTCGCACTCATCGTTTTCTCCGTCTGCGACGCCCCCGGAAATACCAACGTCTGAGGAGGAATTGCTAGCGAAGTGGATGAATGACCAGGACGGCCGCGCGAAGGAACCGTTGATGCAGGAACAGGCAGCAGCCACGTCGCGCAAGGACGAGGACTCGATAGAACCACCAAGCGGAGAGCTTTCACCCTGGCAGTTGCAGCAGGAGGTGTCTGTTCCGGCTCTGGAATCCGTCCCGTCCGCAAGGGGTGTGGTGGATGCAAGAGCAATTGCAACGTCGTTGCCGTCGTCCACGTCATCATCAAGCACAACCAGACTAAGCAATCCGGTATTAGACGAGACCGAAATAGGCCGAGGCCGCGCGCCTGGTGGCGACATCAAAGGGTCAATACAACTTGCTGGCTCAGCCTCAACATCTTCGGCACTACAAGACCCACCGAGAAGTGCGTCTGAGTCCTCCGCATACAGCCCCTTTCAGCCCGCCACGGACACAGGAAGGCAAGCCGGTGCCGGTCCTCTAGGCAGTTTCTCCCCTGCGCACCAAGTTTTGGCCGAACAAAGTGCAATGTTGCCGCCAACGGGAACAACTTCCACCGCTGATACATCAAGTACTTCTTCTAGCATAGTTTCGTCTCCCGATCCACCGCCACTTCGACAAGAGCCAAACGAAAACAAGCCGCCAACTGGGATTGTGGAGGAAAATACATTTCGCTTCCTCGACATGCTATGGCGTTCTCAAACGTTACACTTACACTTACGGCCTCATCTGTTACATGAATTTGTGACGCACGAAAAAGAATATTAGCAAATGCGAAAGCAAAGGGGGGGCGTCTTGCATAAGAAATTTGGCCATGCGAAGAAGCTTGATCGTGTGAAGTATGCTAGTGATTCTGTATGACCAACCATGTCACAGCTGATGGCGTTGTAACGCTTAGGAATCCCATACACGATCGGTTTTGGCGGCAGCTCCGACAAGAGGGGGTCGGGAACGAGCGAAGGCGGCTCGGGCTCTTCTCCCGGCAGGCTACAGCGCTTACTGGAGGAGACCAGTGCTGCCAAGCAGGATTGATGTGGTCGCGCATTTGCTGAGGGCTGAGCCTGCACTTGTTGTCGCTTCATTCTTCAGGTCCGTGACCTCTGCTCCATTATCGTTTCGTATTTTCGTGCCATCAAGAATATCCTGTACAATTGCATCAGTTTCGCTTTCACTTTCTATTTCAGAGATGAACAACTGTCTGAAAAATGACAAACTATCACAATGTAGTATTACTTTCTGAGGTTCATTCTGATTGCAAACAAACAAGTGCTACCCTACAAACGGAGACGCTTTATTTCGCTTTGCTAGAAGGGTACTTCGACAAAAGGAGGGCGCAAATGCTTGAAGAGATTTGACAAGAGGAAAAGCGTTGTTGTGTACAGCGCGCTTTTGCCGTTACGCTTTCTCATCGCGCTTGATGTTCCTCGCCTGTGTAGACTGCTTGTGGACCACTGCGTGACGACGTCCAGAGAGGAGAACTACTCCGAAGCACGAGGATCAAGATCATGATCAAGCGAAAAGAGTAGCATCAGCAACGGGGACGCAATGTACAGCCAGGCAAAAGACAAAGGCTTGAGTAAGTGTCATTTTTGTCAAAATATCTGCTGCTGGGTGACTTCAACGCCCGCCTACCACTAAACACTGACAACACGGGAAAATGGGGCCGGGAAGCAGTTCCCAACCAAAACACGCACCTGCTGGAGGCCTTCCTCCGCGAAAACCAGTGCTGCAGCCTGGCCTCGTATTTCCGGCACAGTCACCGCGCCTACGCGACCTGGCGCCACCCCGGGCACCAAACGCTGGGGCATCGCGCTTACCACCAGATCGACCATGCCATCGCGCCTCACACCTTCAGACCCGCGGTAAAGGACTGCAAGGCGATGGACGTGGCGGAACAAGCAAAATACGACCACCGCCTGGTGGTCGTGAAAGTCAGCCAGCGCGACCTCCAGTGGTTCGGGAAGAGAAAAAAGCAAAAACCAGCGCCCCGCCCACCCAAGGGCAAGGCCACCGCAGCCACTGCAGATGAACAACTCGCCTACAACTCCGCCTTCGAAAAAGAACTAGTCAAGGGCGAGTCACTGCAGAACAGCATGCGGGAAGCCGGCGCGCAAGTCTTCGGCAAAAACAAAAAGGAACGCAAGCCATGGATCTCGCCGGAGTTCCTGGACCTATGGCAAGAACGATGCCGGCTTCTTGCAGCAGGAGAAAAAGCAGAAGCGAAAATCATCTTGAAACAGATGAAATGGGTGGAGCGCAAGGACCGCAGCGCCTTCGCGGAGCGAGTCTGCGAGGACGCGGAAAACTTTTTTGAACAACGGGGGCAGTCGCCAGCCATCGCGGAAATCGCGAAGCTTGGAGGGAAAAAGAAGCAGCCAACAGGCCCGGCCTTCAGCGAGCCGCTAACGCACAGCGGCAAGACGGAATTCATGGCGGAGGGGAAGGCAGAACTGCGTCGGCAGTTCTATGCCGATGCTTTCACCCGCCCAGAACCAGAGCTGTTGCCGGCGCTACCAAAAAATCCTCCTTCACAGCCAAAAAACAACGCAACAAAAAGCCAGGCGCTTCATCGCATTTCGGAAAAAGTCGACGACGAAATGATCAAAAGCGCGATAAAGCGGCTGCAGTTCGGAAAAGCGGGCGGGGAGGATCAACTAGTAAAAGAGCACTACGACCTCCTGGACGAAAAAAACAAAAAGTTGGCGCGGGACAAGGTGCGGCAGTATTGGGAAACCAAAACGCTAGATCCGGGCGAGGTGGACTCGCTGATAACGGTACTGCCGAAACCGGGCAAGGACCACGGCGAGGCGGCGGGGTGGCGCCCGATAGCCTTGCTGAACTTCTTGTCAAAAGTGTATGCGTCGCTACTGTATCTGAAGATTGCGGGCCCGATCGGCGACATCATGTCGGAGAATCAGGCTGGTTTCAGAAGTTACAGGCGGGCGATCGACAACACTTTGGCCCTGCGCATTGCAGTACAAAACCACAAAAAAGCCGGCAAGGAGTTGCGTGGTCTGTTCGTCGACCTCGAGCAGGCCTCTGACACAATTCCGCGCAAGCTGATAGCCGAAGCAATGCAGCACTACAAAATGCCCCAGCACACGCAGGACAGGTTTTGGGCCTTGTACAACGGCCACAGCTTCGCAGTAAAAAGGGACGGGGCAACAAGCAGCAAAACAGAAACAAAAACCGGCACCAAGCAGGGCTGCCTCCTGTCCCCGATTATTTTCAACTTGTGCTTCCAGTATGTACTAGAAAGAGTAGACCTAGGAGAGGGATTGAGCTTCATCTGCGGGGGGCTCTTGAACAGCAAAGAACAGCTCTTCACCATGCAGCTAGACCATCTGCTGTATGCGGATGACTTAGGAGTATTCTCGCAATCACTCGAAAGCCTGAAAGCAACCACCCAAGTCCTTTGCGAGAAATTTGCCGCCTTCGGCCTGCGGGTGAATTTCAAAAAGACCAAGTTCATGAGCTTCAACGCCCCAAACCAAGAAGCCCAGTGCATAGAAATAAACGGCAGCAAAATAGAGCGGGTTTCAGAATTCTCCTACCTAGGATCCATCATCACAGAAGAAGGAACAGATGAGAAAGATATTGAGAACAGGATAAAGCTCGCTCAAAAGAAGTCCGGAGAACTAACCAAAGTCTTCAACAGCCGGACCCTCTCGCCAGCGTTGAAAGTGCGAATTCTCAACGCCTTCGTATACCCGGTCCTGGCCTGGGGCTGCGAAACGTGGACGCTTCGGCAGAGCGACGAGCAAGCACTAGACACCTGGTGGAACAAAAAGCTGCGCCACTGCTTGGGGGTGACAAAATTCGACCACATCGAAACCACCGCCATCCGCCAAAAGCTAGGCGAGCGCGCTCTTTCACACAAAATCCGCGAGCGAAGGCTGCGCTACTTCGGCCATGTCGTGCGGTACCCGAAGAACCGCTGGGCGCGGATAATGCTCACAGCAACAGTCCCGAAAGCACGACACGGCCAGAGCGCAACAAAAGCCTGGATCTCCGAAATCAACCGAGAACTGATCAAAAGACGATCCACACCAGCGGACTGCTTAAGCAAAGAGCTTTGGAGACAAATAGTATCTGGGAACAGCTATGGCACAGTAAAGCAAACAGCATCAACTTCTTCTTCTACATCTTCCTTCACCAACAGCAACAGCATTGGAAATAGTCTCCCAATCCAGGCGATCATGAGACTGAGAGGTCGAAAAAGGGAATTCTAAGGCGATAACGTCGAACAGAATACATTCATCAAGTGTCATTTTTGTTTTTGTATACCTCCAGAAGAGTACGTAAGGCGGAACATTTTAAAAATTGCGTTGAGTGTGAGATGACGAAGGCAGGTGTACACACGTGCACTCCTGTTCCAATGCGCCACGCGGAGACGCGATGACGTGCCGGACCTAGACGACGCTTTTTTTGCATGCGCTCCAGAGAAGATCTCCAGAACGAGACGCTGTGAAGCTAAAGTTTGAAATGTCGTAGTCAAATCAAGCACGATGACGAGCTATAGGATAAGAAACCAATAGAAGCAGCGGAGAATATGCAAGAGACGCACAAGAAGCAATAGCAATACACAGGAAGGATAATGACTTTGTCCCTCAGCGCGTCTCCGCGCATTAATTCCCGCATGAAGCGTAGTGCGCTGCTCGTGCAACTAGCTTCACGCCGGGCGGTTATTTCAGTTGCGGCGTACGACTACCAAAACGCCACCGACCTGGGCGACGGCATTCGCGAGTTCACGGTGAACCACGAAGGGGTAGATTTGAAAGTCCAGGAGTTGGTCCAACAGCCGTCGTTTCTTGTTGAGCGTCAATCGGACTTCCACGACGCACAAGGAGATTCCTTAACCAAACAAGCATGCGAGACGCTCTTTAACGAAGAGAATGAGCTAGCTGTACGACAAGCTTTCGAAAATCTCCAAAATCTTCACACTAAGGCGAAAAAACACACGAAGGCTTCACATAAGCACATGAAAGAGTACAACCATCACCATTCACACGCCATAGTGTCGCTTCTCGGCTTGTCGTCGGGCGCTCAGGCGGAGCGCGGATTCGCGGAGCGCGGATTCGCGAAGCGCAGCACGCGCGAGCACCAAGGCAGAGGCAGGAGGCACGGGAAGATGATGAAGGAGAAACTTCACGAATTGATCGCGCACGTGACGGAAAACTTTGAACACGGTTTTGAAGTGGCTCTGGAGGAAATGACGGAAATTGCGAGTATGTTTAAACAACGGACACAAGCTGCAGCCGCTTCGCTCTTCAATAAAGAACACGTACCAAACGACGCCAAACAATTGCTTTCGCAATTCATCACAACGTTTTCTGACAACTTGAATGAACTGAAGCGAAGCGCGGATAGCACCTTCAATTCGAAAGTGGCTGAAGGCGCGAGGCACTTGACCCACACGACAATGCATTTGGTGCACACCCACTTGACTGATGCTCTTATCGGTCTGAAGAACGGGGTCGAGGCTAAAGCGGTGAGCGCGGTCTTCAGCCACGTGCCCTCGTTTGTAACCAACAAGATCCTCGACGCGGTGGAAAAGGGTACCGGCGCCGAAGAAAAGTTGATACAGGTGTGTCAATTTTTGGAAAATCTCAGCGAAGTGGCCATTCGCAAGACCGTGGACCTGACCGTCCAAATTGGCGCTACATTGCAGACCGTGATATTCGGGGTGTTTCACTCAATGGACGACAGCACGCACGGCATCACCCCGGAAGCCAAGCACCAGGGCCTTGTAGAATCTCTTGAGGGCGCAATCGAGAAGCGCAACCACGCCTTTCGGCGCACGAGATCTGGGGAGCTCTCTGGGAGTTCGTACCTGCAGGACCTCGAGGAGCGGCTGTTGCCGCCGCCCCCCCCCCCCTCCTCACCCACCAATGCCCTCGGACCTCATAGCAACCGGGGTGGCGACGTGCTTCCGGCTTTATCGCAGGATTTCCAGGGTGGCGTGTCCGGGAACTCTACTTTCATCGGCCTCACGATGAAACCATCATTACCACCATTCGTGCAGGGTGCGTTCCAGAACATGCGGAAGGCTGTGGTGCATCAAGCGTTTGCTCTGGTCTTGGATCAAGTCGAGAACTTCCTGGGTGACAAGCTCGCGACCGTTCTCGCGTCGTTTCCACGAGGTGCGCATCTAGTGGGCGCAGCGTTTACCAGCATGGCGCACACGGTGTTTGACTCGTTTGAAGAACATGTCGTGGTACCCTTGTCCTGGGCCCTACCAGCTTCGAATGATGGTACATCACACACAAAGAAGTGGGACGAAGCCAAAAAGGGAATCCTAAAAGATTTTCATGATGTCTATGACATGACTGTGAGACACGCCGTGTACGTGTACATCTCCGACATTGCGCACGCTGTTCTTTGCGCTTACAGCGCTGCGGTTCCGGTGCTTTTGGGGCCAACGTCGAAGGACATGCACATGAAAACGCATCTCTCGGTGTTGCAAAAGGAGATGTTTGCCACTATCTTCCCGGACGATCTCAGGCACGAATTCTGGAAAGACGAAGAGAAGATATTCGAGGATGCAGAAAACGAAAAAACAGAATTAAATTGCGCAGCGTCGAAATCGTCGCAGGTAAGACCAATTGCAAGAAAAGTTGCGATGTTGTAGTAAAAATGCAATGGACTCCGATGAAATTACTAGTGCTAGCCCATAGCCATACCCAATGCATTTGCATGTGTGTTTTTGATGTGATGTGGTGGCGCAAGAACTTCTCTCGGAGTGGACGGGCGTTTCCTATTGACCGTTCCAAGATCGGCACCGGCCTGAATTCTTTTCGAGTCCGCGTCTGAGTTTTTTCTCCAATGGAGCGCGCTCATGTGTAACAAAAGACAGACTAACTAACTCCATGATCCAGGTTGTGCAGAGCAACAACGGCCCGCGGGGCCCCAGGCCGGCGAAGACGAACCGTTCCGTGCACCCCAAGATGAAAGATGTAATTGATCAGGAGGTCCCTGACCCTGGACAAGATAAAGATTGAGATTTTGGAGAAGAGTTGTTGATGGAGACAATCCGGCTTCAAGGGCGAAGAAGTGCAGTCGAAAGGCGTCTCAGCTCGCTAAGGAGTAAATTCAAACTTCCTGCACACGTACAAAAGCGGCGTTTTTCTATCCTGGAAAATTGACAAAATAGAACTGTCCTTCAAAGAAACTATAATTTAGAACCCTGAAGAGAAGTAACAACATGCGCGCGCAATAAGAATGCAGATACAGGAATTATGTTAGCAATGGCCCTGCGTTGGTGTTGGTGTAGCTTGTGGCTATCTTTCCTCGTAGCTAGGCTGACGGACACAGCCCGCCCCAGATCCGCGCGCCTACCAGCATCAGTAGCGTTTCCGGTCGACGCTGTGCGATTCCTCCTCAGCTGCGTCTTGGAGTACCTGCTCTGGAGCCCCGCGGTGCTGTGCCCTCGGGGGCGGCTCCGGGCGAAAATTAGCAGAGCCAGTTCCGTTCTGTTTTGTTGATGTGCCAAGTGTCTAGCTGACCCAGGTACTTAATTGGTAGTGGTTCGCTTGCCGTTTCGATTTCATCATAAAGCGGGCGCCGGGCCCGCCCCGCCCAATTCGTCTAACTTTAAATGCACCCGATTCGCCGGAGCCTTGGGCCTCGACGCCCTGTGCCCCCCTTCGTATTGCCCGTTCCGGAAGCGCTTGAAAGCCGTTACAACTATCGAGACGTCCTGTTTCCTTGTCCCGTTTGCCGTCTCCATGCCCCCGTGGCAACTGGCTGCCACGTCCGATGACAAGGCTGACCTGGCAGAGGGGTAGACGGACTGACTGGTCGGAGTGGGTTGGCTGGCTCGCTGGTGTTGAAGCGAGTTCATTTTTTGAATTTTTCTAGATGCGATTTCATTTTCAAATGACCTCAAAATCGCAGTCCTATTTTGTGTCCAGTCAGTAGATTCAATCTGTGTGCTATGGTAATCAACCAAGAGCGTGGGGCTCCTGTGCGCCAATTTCCAAACAAGGAGAAACGATGCACAGGGGAATGCTCCGTTTCGCCATAGCATTGGGCTTAAATCTACTGGACACAAAAAAGCATTGTGATTTTGTCTTCTTAAAGGCAGGAGAATCTGAGCTGAGGCAGTCCTTTTTCTACCGGTGAGCTTTTTCGTCTGCGAAAACTTCGTGACCTTTCCCGCCGGCAAGAGTCTTCGTGATGGAGATCTCGCCTCGTATTTTCTCAGCCGCATACCGGCGGCGCAGAAATTGCTGCTGTGTGTGAATTCTGCAGAAGGTCAAAATTGGCCAGGGCAAGGAGCTTGCGATACGAAATCAAAAGCAGCGACTCAAAAGATGGCGGGGCACTTGCTGCCAGCGTGTCCAAACTCGCACCGCATTAAGCCGGTCGCCTGGTTTCCATCGCTTCAAGCAAATTTCCGGCCGCAATCGTCCACCAAGCGGAGAGACGCGGCGCAGTGTCCTGCGCGAGTCCCCGGCGCGTTCCTTCGTTCCTTAAGCCCCCGCCCTGAAAAGCGCGCCACGCAGTTCGCAGCTTCCCCTCCTCGCGCGCACCAAAAGTTTGATCGCGCTACTCCGGTTGCGGGCGCCAGCGTGGGGCCGCGCCTCGGCCTGTTATATTTTCCGCGACATGCGCAAAGCCGCCTTAGCTTTTCGTGCGCCCGCCGTGGCAGGCTGGCTTCCTTCGTACTGCACGCGGTCGGGGCGCGCCCGGCGCCTGCGCATCTTCGCGGAGGGCTTGTTGTAGCCCTGCGCCATCTAAGCTAGCGTGTGTTGTGACGGCGCGCAGCCCTGGCTGCAAGGGGCGAATGGGAAGGCTCCGGGCAGGTAGTTAACGCCTGCCCCTGGTTACCAACCAACGTCAGTACCGGCGTGCAAAGTATGATGTGGACCCAGGACCCGGGCGCCGCCGAGGGGGCGGGGGCGCGATCAGGCGTTCGGCTCGAAGCTGGCCAGCCCACAGCCGCCTCCTCCCATTGTCAATGGGCGCAGCTCGCTGTTGGCTATGGCTGATTGATTCGGCGCTCGCGCCAAGCTGCACACCCAAGGCCCTGGGCTTCTGGCGTGGGGCGGTGTGTTTTCGAATGGGCACGGACGCAGATTGTAGCCCGAAAGGGGCATGTCCGGACGAAAATCCAATACCTCTGCTGCGGCTCTTGCGCCGCATCGAACTCGATGCGACTACAACGGGAGTAGCCAGCTTGCTCCATGTGCGTCGGGCGTTGCTTCGCTTTCAAGACATTCGATGAGTAAGCGTAGCGTGACGCGTGATAGATCATCCTGCCGGCGGCTGGATCATACCAGATATGTAAGTGTAACCCGGAAGTAGAATATGTATATGGCTTCAGTTAGCATTTCTTACCCCATTCTTTCGCTATTCGCTGACTCGCCGTCAGGGACATTTTTTTATTGTTCAATGCTCAAGTACAAGTTGTGCCAAGTAGTTAAAGATAAATTATAAATTTTGAAGTAAAACAAGCTTACACATGTTTGTTAAAGTACACCGCAGCGTCCGTCATGAGACGAAATTTTACAAAGCAACAAGGCGACTACAGTTTGCTTTGATCCGCGAATGGCGGAAGTTTTTTTTTGAAAAAATTATGAATAGGAGGAAGCGCCAAGAATAACTCGAGCATTTCCGAAAAGATAAAAACAAAAAAGAAAATCCAAAAAAAGCAAAAAATCCTCAAAGCCAAAAAAAACAAAAAATCCTCAAAGCCAAAAAAAACAAAAAATCCCCAAAGCCAAAAAAAACAAAAAATCCCCATACGTAAAAAGCAAAAAATTGAAAAAGCAAAACTTACGCAGAGCTAAGTAAGTAGGTCACTACTGCTGGTGCCAGACAGGTTGCAGCGCTCGAAGGGATGTGGCACCTAATGTCAATCCGCTCTGCAAGAGATCGCCGCTGCCGTGTTTTTCCCGCAGCGTCGCGCAGTGCATGAAGTTCAGCTTCAGACCAGTTTGGGCGCATGCTTGCATTGTTTGAGTTGCGAGTTGTGGACTCAGGCAACGGACGTGTCATTGAGGGCTATTCCGATCAATGAGCTCGAGTTTCCACCGGACTTCTATAGTTTTGAGCATAAAGATTAAGATAAATGACTGGCGTGACGACACAGAGTTTGACTTTAAATCTGTGCCGGAGAGCTGGAAAAGTCCGCACTTCGTGTGCCCGGAATTATTAACGGCCCTGCTCCGTCGATTGCGATTAGCATTAGGATGCGCATTTCGACGCAAGCGCGTGCGTTGCATCGGTATTAGCAGGCACCGAGAGCGCTACCGTGGTGCAGGACAAACGCGATGGCAGGCACGCTGAGGAAGAGCAGGCACGGTCGCCCACGAAGACGATTCTTCTTCGCAAAGCCACTGTGTGAAAGCCACCGGCGCGGCTCAGCCCACGAGGCGGGCAGCGCCAGGCCTGCGCCCAAAACCTGTGCGTAGCGTGATGCACGAGGCGGGAGCCAAGTAGTAGAAAAGAAGCCTGCAAGGGCAGCATCCGCGGGGCTGGATTCATCGAGGATGCCTGGCCAAGCTCTTAAGGATTTCTCGCCGGTGCGAATCAGCTGGGTTTCGCGTTCAATGTTTATCGCAGGGGCCTGTGGATGCGGCCCGCCGCGGGCAGCAGTACTTTTGCGCGGCCCGGATGTAGAAGCAAGAGTGGCTGGCGCTCCCATAGGCCAGCTCGCCGCAGGGTGAATGCGATGGCCGCACTTGTTTCACCGCGCGGCACGCAGGCCCTCGCCCGGGTTAGGGTGATCGATGTCCACTCACGCATTTGGTTTATGCTGATATTGCGCTCGCCCGTGCCCGAAGATCTTGTTGTTGGTCTCAATCTCAATCGTGCCAAGACCGTGGCTCTCGCAAGAAGTAGAATGCAAGGCTTGCCGTCTTCTTTTGGGCGCGGTCCATTTCGAAAAATGGATGCTGGATAATGTGGCTGTTGCGCCGCCGCGCATTCTCTCTAGTGTGCGCGCACCTGCACCTGCAGCACTGGTGATGTTGCTGAAGATTTTTGGGGTGCAACAGCTTGCACAACTTTCTGAAGGTAGCCTCGTGGCTTCGCACTCTCTTCTTACGAAGCAGTGGCTCGACGAACGCACAAACGGGCAGCTGCAGCACGATCCCGCCAGTCATGAAAAAAATTCAAATTACCGGGGTGGCACAGTTTTTCTCGACTCCAGTCACGCGTCTCCAAGCAGGAAGGACTTTTTTGGCGCTGAAAACCAGGCGGACTCCTCTGGAAAAGAAGAAGCTGCAGGCACGGAAAAATCGGCGCAAAAAGTGTCTGCAGAAGCCCTGAGCGATGCAGCTCCTTCTGATGTAGTGGAAGACGAAAAGGCGAATCCCGATGAGGACGACGGAAAGCAAGAGCCCGACCAGGCTGGAACTGCCACTGACACTGCACCGTATGAAGTTGAAGAAAGCGAAGGTATTGTGTCCTCAGAACAAGCTACCCCGCCCGATGCAGAAGAAGATGCCTCCTCGGGCGGCGAGTTTGCAGCAAGTGCCGGGGATGATGGGGAGCCAGCATTTTCCACTCCGGAGGACGAGAGCAGCAAGACGGAGTCGGAGACCTACAACACTGGCTACAACGAAACGATAACAGAACAAAATATCGAAGACGCCGCTGCGACGGCATCGGCAGAGTCATCAAACTCCGAGGGCGAAGTTGAAAAAGAAGCCAGCGAGACGGAGGCTTCTGCGGATGAACCGACACCAGTTTCTGCTGACTCCTCTGACGACGGGTCGAGTCCGGGGGGACCGAGCAATCCGTCTTCTGCAAGCGCAACTGATCATGGCGACGGACTTTCTTCGTCCTATTCCTCTAGCAGTAAATCAGAACAGTCATTGCAGTCATATTCCTCCCAGTCTGGCGGAAGTCCGTACATTTTGGACGAGGTGTAGACTAGCTCGTTTATTCCTTTTCCCATGAAAAAATATGTCCTTTCCGGTCTCCTTCCATCGCGTGTTTGTAGTTTCGCCGGAGCTGACCTGGATTTTCTACCACCAGGGTTTTAGTAACACTGCTTTCCCTTCTTTCATTTTATTGTGTGATCATAGTGTCCAATTGTCGTGTTGTTCGAGACATATCCGTACCTAACCCTAAAATTGAATCTGAGATCGCGGCCACAACGAATTCCGCCATTGTCTCGCACGTGACCGAGCACCTCCTACGCGATGGGCAGTTTCAGTCCAAGCTGAGCCAGGCGATTCTGCAGCAGGACAGCTTCCGGGGGCAGTTTGTCGGCTGCTTGCAAAAGCGCGTGGTGGACGCGCTGGAAAGTGACCCGGAGTTTGTTCGGGACACACAAGATCTGCTGATCCCTCAACTGCTCGACTACTTGTTGGCCCAGAACTACCGGCACTGGCGCGGCGAGATCATGGAGACTCTGATCAACAGCAGTAAGTTTCAAACTTCCGTCTATGCCCATATGGGACGATAATTTTCAAGCGTTACATTGTTTGCTGTAGTCAGTACATGATTTGTCATGCAAAATTTCAATCAGCATGAGCATCAGCATCCATATCCAACACCAACTCCAAGCTACTTCGCATGGCATCAAATTCTTGAAGGGCCAAACAGCATGGAAATCTGTGTCGAATTTGTAATGCGAGAGGTGCACCAGCAGCAGCCTCATTCTGATCGCTTTCACTTTTATTGCCATTTTTGTCTTACCAATTCACATTCCAGCTTACAATGTAACGCTTGAGAACTCCATAGCGCACCTGGTCGACGTGACGGCACAGGAAGCGACGCACAATTCCCCACCGCCGAGTTTCCAGAACCCGGACTCCGGCGCAAACTACGACTCGGTCGACAACTACAAAGGGTTGCAGACGGTAGATTCCTCTTCACAGGGCACCGACGTCTACTACAAAGATACTGAATCCTCCTCGCCCCTCAACGCGGTGCCAACGCAAGAAACGTCGCAGGGCCCGGTGGTGTCGGTTACAAAGTCAAGCTCATCTTCCGCCAGCGTCTTTCTGCAGCTGCGACTGGAGGAGGAAGAGGGGGCTAGCGGAAGAAACTCCCAAACCGCATCAATGCAGGAGGTGATCGAGATGAACGAAGGTGAACGTCGGCGTAATAAAGAGGGGTCGGATGCCGCGGATTCAGCTTTCGGTGAAGGAAGGCAGGACCTCTCCAGTCTGGTTTTGAAACCGCACGAGACGGGCGAAGATGCATCGAGGACATCGAGGAAGCAAGCTACTAGTTTACGAAACGCCTACCAGAATTACAAGGCGAAGACTTCTGCGTCGACAGGCCTCCCGATGTCAGCGCCTTCGAAGAACAAAAAGGAGCATAGCAGTGGAGGGAGGACGTCAGCGTCACCCAAGAAGCTGCCAGGAGGCCACCAGCCGCACGGCGGGGTCAAAGCGAAGATCGAGGGCACCGACGAGCCGATGCAACGCCAACGCTCCCAGCAGCACGACATCGAGCTACGGGGGCATAGTGAAAAACAAAAACAGGGAGAAATTGATAGCTTACGTCAGCGCCTCCACGATATCGAACGTCTTCGAGAGGAGATCCAGCTGGAACACACGAAGACGAAGGAACTCAAGAGAAGCGACATGATTGCCAGCTCAACAGCTGCGAAAGGGACGTCGAGAGCAAATGTTCGCGGCGGGGAACAGCTGATAAGAACCACGCGCGCAGCCGATGCGGTGGTCGCGCAGAAATTGAATGCAGTTTCCGGCAAGGCAAGCGAGCAAATTGCTGAAGCTGAAAATGACTCACAAGGGCACGACGAGGCGAGTCGGAATAGTTCCGATGCGGCTGCTAGCGGCGATATCATGTCACCAGAGATTGATGAAACTGCAAAAGGCGCTGTCGACCACGGTGAGCTTCCAGCCAATTTTGAAGAAGAGTTTGCGTCGGCGTTCTCACAAGCCGAAAGCGAGGGACCGGCATCTTCTGCGACGCCCGAACAGACCCACTCCGCTGTCTCAATGTCGGCAACTGGACGTGGCATGTCAGGAATGACCAAGCACGATTTTGGAGACATTGCTGCAAAGGCAGTCAAGACCACGGGTGCCGGAAGTAATACTGGTACTAGCTCCTCGTTGTTTGCAGACGGGTACCATTCCGGATCGCAGATAGGAGGAAGTAGCGCAATCGGTGAAAACTACTACGACCAGTTTCATCATGCGGTCGTCCCTGCTCCGACGCACAGACCTAGCCCATTGGACAGCGGCTACCGGGGCAGCGGCGCGGCGTACCATGCTAGTGGTGCTAGCTACGGCGGAACCTCCCTCGCCTCGGACACCTACGCACCTGCTCACCAACAGCGTGGCGGCAACACCCGCAACCTCCCTGGCCTGGTGGGAGATCAACGGCCAAAGTCCAGCGCCCAGGTCGGTGGCCACGGACACGAGTACGATAGCCGGCCGATGTCCTCGTCGGACTACTACGCCCCAGCCCCGGCCCGGCTCCCCCGCGTTGATATGACCATCGACCTGGCGGGCATTTTTCGTCGCAGCATCGAAGAGAATCTGGTCCGAGACGACCGATTGGTCGCACTGGTGGAAGGCAGCCGCGCTGCGATGGACGAGTTGGGGGCCAGTTTGGTGAAGGACCACCGCACGCGCGACGCAATCGTGTCCGAAATGGACGGTAAGCGCGATCTGTGGAATCACATTTTGCAGGAGCACAGCACCGGGCTCTCTGCCAAGGAAACCCTGATCGAGCTGCTTGGCCGGCAACTCGTGGCGGACCCGAACTTCATCGGCGACTTGGCGGAAAACCTGATCCGTGCAGAGGACAAGGTGTCGCACAAATATTGGATGTCGCCGTCGCTGATGCAGCTCGACACCGGGAGCCAAAAGGACGCTCTGTTGCGTGCCCTGCGCCGCCTAGAGGCCAGGATCTTACTCGGTGACAAGAAGGAAGCCGTGGCTTTCCAAGGTGGTCTCACAGCGGCGCACGAACAGGCTTCTTCATCTCTCCGCTTGCTGACCGCCGATCCCCCGACCCGAGTGACAAACTTTGAAAAGCCCAATAATCAGTGGCAGGGGCAGCGGCTACAACGAGAAAGTAAAATCATAGAGGATGGCGCAAAAATGAAGCAGCGCCAGGATGGGTCTGAAGAATTTTCACCAGCGCGACGCGGCGGAGGAGCAAGTGTAGCAGAGATACCATCGGTTTCATCATCCCAAGATCAGCAGCGCCAGCGGCAGGCACGCTCAAGCCGCCCATCGAGTCTGAACCTCGCAGCGACGGAGTTACGCCGTAAGGAGGAACTTCCATTTATCTTTTCGGACCTTGTTGGCGGGGGATCAACACCCGATCCTGAAGCAGATGAGAAGACACGAAGCTCAACTTCATTACGAAATGCAAACAAGCCGGAACAAGATGTCGCACATACCCCGCAGGAGCAGCTGACCGGGGCTTTGCCAACCGCGTCGACGACGGCATTGCTGCACAAAGTGAATGCGGACATCAGGCAGCACCGAGGGCAGGCGTTCAATTCATCAACCGCATTCAATGCGGACGACTACTACGAGCCCAGTGCAAAGGAGCTTTCCGGCGCCACAGCGCCGCTGTTTTCCGATCGAATTGCGCGCAGCCTTGAAGAGGATCCCAAGCTGCTGCAGGCCATCACCGCCCGTCATTACAAGATGAAGGAGGTAGCCTGCACGTTGGCCCGGCACATCGCAAAAATCAAGGTTGCGCCGGTAAATGAACGAAAGCTTTTGATGGTTCTTCTTCTACTTTCTTTTTGTTGCTTGTTATTTTTAGGAATAAACCCGGCGATGGTGCCTGTATTCCAAGTACGACTAGCTGACGGCGAGATTTAGATTAGAACACGAAAATGCAAACAACAAAAACGACAAGAATCTATGCAAGCAAAAAAAAACTCTGAGAGCTACGTGAAGACTCTTTCTGCGGCTTTCGTTGCGAGTTCGAAATTGCTGACAGCGGAGGCGGCTGCCCGAATTTTGGAAAACTTTTCCACGCGTGATGTCGGAGCGATGGTAAAACGATACGCAGTTCTTCAAACGAAAACTCATGCCCTGGGGTGTAATTTTTTTGCATTCTGCCATAGGCTCTCATTGAGGTCGGACCATGACTCTCTCACCCATGCCACATTTCGCGATTCTTTCTTCAATCACATGCACGTGTTGTATATCTACTTTTTTTTTCAATTTCAATTCACAATAAAACAAAAACAGCTAGAGAACCCGCAGAAGTGTGTGCCATCCGCACGGGACTCGTGTCTGGGCGGGCGACTGCAGACGCTGGTTGCCACCGTCATCGCCTATTCGGAAATGGACCCGCAGGTCCGCCAACACCAGCCCCGCCTACGCAGCTCTGTGCCTCCGCCGCGGCCCCACCATCGTCCGCTCTCCAATCCGGACTTCGACTACTTAGCCATCGAGGGCACGGGAAGGCAGGGCAGGCAAGGCGGCATGTACCCTTCAACGTCAAAGACCACTTCCAGTAGCGCTGGCAGCTATGGAAGCGCCCTCGGCCTGCCCATGGCGGAACACGCCGGCAACGACGGGCCCGCGCCGTCGCTTCCTCAGGTCGGCTTAGTGGATACGATGTCGCACAATTTCTACGACAATAAACCGCGTGCATTGCCGTCGACGCCGGTTTTGGATGGAGCGCCGAGAACTTCATCGACGAATGGTGCAGGTACACAGGCATCACCAGCACCTTCAAAAAGCTCGAAAATCTCAGAACGGGGCGATTTCGGCCTTCTCCGACCGGCTGTAGACAACACTGCGAACAGCAGCAAGGGCACGCCCAGTCCTGTAGTATTCTCATCCGCAGCGCCATTGGTTGCCGCCTCGTCCAACCTCCCAGCGTCAGGAAGAAGCACGAGCTCCAGTGTTGGCACCAGTCGTGCTAGTTCGGTCACGAGTGAGAATGATGTCACGGGCAAGCTCAAAATCACGCATCTTACTCGGGATCATGTTCGCCCTGTGCCCGGCACCACGACAGGGAGGACAGGAGGTAGAGCAGAAAAGGAGGACGACGTGGAGGTCTTGAACAGGCTGAATCAGAATGCCGAAGCGAAGAGGCAGTTAGAGGAAGGAAGGAGTGCTGGGGGCGACAAAGGAGGTGTTGTAAGGGCAGCAGAGAAAGGCCGAGAGACGACGACCGGTCGGGAGCCGCCCAAGAAAACCGTACAGTTTGACCTGGTGCGTTCATCTTCCCCAACTCCAACTGCAGCGAGTCGTTGATCTTCGCCTCGTCGAATGTACAAAGTAACAGGTGGACAACTTCTTCCTTGAATGGTATTAATTTTTTCATGCGCGTTGGAAGCGTAGTACTAGAACTAGAAGCCGCGTACCGTGATTTTTCAGAGTTTGATGTTACTAGAAACAAACAAGCCGCTATCTTGCGACCTCTTGATCAAAAATCCACGAGTGGTGTAAAAACTCGTCCGCGTACCTTTGAATCAGAAACCAGAAGCCGAAAAAACTGTGTATCCGTTGTCACTTTCAATTATTCCAAGTACATTGCTGCACTAGATTCTTCTTCCAAGAATGAAGAGGGAACTGTTCGCCTTGCTCACCGGTCAATCACGTTTCACTGTACAAAAACGACTGTGGGAGCAGAGACGACACTGGCCATCTATACCGCATTTTTATTTTTTTTGAAAAATGATATATGAATGAAAGAATCTTCGAAGTCGATTACGATTTCAAACCCTTGTACAATCTGAAAACCGTACAGAAGCAAGTAGAAAAATGAACCAAATGAAGATGACAAGTAGAGAACATGCACGAACTACATCATACATATTCAGCAATCTGCTGCAATTTTATGAAAAGAAAAACAGGCGCGATGTTCAATGCCCTCCGTTCCCGACAGCGGATGGCGACGGAAGCAACCACCTACTAGAAGCTCAGCGTTAAGGAAAAAAGTGCCTTCTTTCGTGTGTGGACGTTGCCACTCATCTTCACTGCCCTTGCTCCCGCTAGGGTTCGAGTGTCGAGCGGCCAGATGGCGTGCGCAGCAACTGCAACCTGAAATCAAGATGAGAGCGCAAGCGGCGGCAGTCCTCTTTACTCAGAGGAGGCGAGCGAAAAAAAATTCTAGAGAGACTATGTCCCTTCATCTTCCTGAGATGGTTGCTTTCGTTCTATGATTTTCTTCGTGAAAAAAAGTGATTTTATTTGTCACAGTTCATCCCTGAGCTGAGCCTGAGGCAGACGAGAAACAGCACGATCACGTTGTACTATTGACAATAATCATGCCGATCACTTGGAAGCCGGTCGAGTATTGCCATTGCTCCGGGTCCTGCTTGTGCAAGGACTGTTTGTGTCCCTGCATTGGAGCGTACGAGAATGCGCGAAAAGTGGACGCCCCAAATGCGTTGCTGCACGGCGCCCTGACTTGCCTCTGCATCAATAACTGGCCCTGCGTGGTCGGCATGGGCTTGAAAATCCTGTTGACGGAGCACATCGGGAATCACACCAACGCGGACCTGGCAGTTGCCGAGTTGTACAAGAATCCGCTGGATTTTGGCTTGGTTTTTTCTGATTTCTGCCACGCCTGGTGTTGCACGCCGTGTTTCTTGAACTCGCTCTCAAGAAGTGTGGACGAGTACGTCAACAGTGGGCAGTGCGAGAAGGACAAGAAAATGAGAGAGGCAACCTCCGGCCTCAAGGTCGCGCCCCAGCAGCAGGTCATGGTGCTCAAGCCGATGGAGGACCCGGTCACGCATTAGGCGGGAAGTTTGTTAGCCTTACTGTGCCCCGGAGGTTCAGGGAATCGATTTATTATGATTCATTTGCGCAAAGGGTAAGGGTTGATATTGATTCACTATGATCTACGCAGATACAACTAAAGCTCACCATATATTACTGCATCTGAGTAAATTAGTGGTGATGTAGTTGATCCATTGATGAGTCACTGTTTCGGTTTCGTTTACATTGATAGATCTGCAAGCGCCTAAGTACTTGTGCAATCAAATGCAAGAGTGATGTTTTATTTGTCTGATACTTTTCCTTTTGTTCCAAAGACTAAGACAAAGTCCCACGACCCAGTTGGAATTTGATCTCGTTCCGTCTCTGCAGCCTCAAAAAGCTGAGAGACATAAGCAATGCTTTGCTTCTACTCCACTTATGTTGATTTCAATATTCTTCATGCTACGTCGCACGATCGCCAGCAGTACAAATCATATGTGGGGCGAAAGGAGCAAGAGCTACGAAAAACCACACTGAGTTTACTGCATGAAGAGCGAGCTCTTCTGTGAGTGAATGAGGGTTAGAGTTAGTGATTGTGACAAACTGCGTCATCTGTGGCGTTTAATGATTTTTGAGCATGAGATACAGCCTAAGCGTCAGATTCAGATACTGATACAGCTTCTCAACATACGACGACCGATTGTTTCAGAGTGAAAGATGAAAACAACATCAAACCGCACAAGTGCCGCGGCCGCTTTGTCATTCTCAGTTCTCCTTCTGTGTCCGCCAGGGGGAAAAAATCATACGCTGAGTTTGTTTCAGGAGATGTACATTTCTCTTTCTGACTGGCACCAGAGGATTTGCATGTCGCACTCAGCGAATCAAGCAGCGACCACGAAGATGTTGGACTAAAACAATTTTCGATCGGTTTTTTTTTCGAACCAGCATGTAGTTGCCGCTGGGCGACCGGGGCTCGCGATATGCCAATGCGCGGGCGGCGCCGGGGACTAGTGCTGTGTTGCGCAACAAGCTCCGCGCCGGCTGCGACATTTTTCGTTCTCTTTCTGGACAGCCTCTTTCTGTTTTTGCAGGCAGCGCAGCTGCATGACGAGCGGGACACTGGCAGTGGCGCTTCTGGATCCTCCGTGAGAAGTGCTGCTACTACACCTGCGAAAAATACGGCTGTCGAAACAGAATGGTCGTCCGGCGGTGCAGCGTCTCCGCGTGATGTAGACACGACGCCCGTCCTCGTGCGGCAAGACCTGTCTGAAGAACGGCACGCGCGGCCTAACGAGGACGCAGATTTTCTGGACGAGGAAGTAGAAGATCATGCGCAGCAGAGCAGCCTTGCCCGGCTGGATTATGTCGACGAGGAGAACGAGAACAATCAAGATCAACAAAACCAAAACGAAGCGCTCGACGACCTTGCCACTCTGCAACTTTCCGTTGCGGCGCACAGTGGGCAAGACCCGGGCGGGAACGCGACCGGGGACGCCGAAGTCACGGCTACTGACGATAATTCGACCTCCCTCGGGGATCTTTTCGCAGAAGAAAACGCCACGGCTGCGGGGAACGAGACCGGGGATGTAAATGGTACCGATGTGAATGGTACGGTTGCCGTTACCGAGGAAAGCGCCGGCACGCCGGAGGAGGCGAAAGAAAACGCCCAGACGTTCACGCCCTTGGTCCGCAATGTCGGTGCGGAGTTGGCGGCGGACGCAAACTTCCAGCTCGCCCTGGCCCGCCTGCTGGTGCGGTACCCGGAGATATCAGCGGAGAACAAAATGCTAGTATAGTAAAGTAGGATGCGCATGCGTCCGCAACTGGAAGATCATGTCCACTGCGCACAACTATCTACAAATGATAAGCCGATGTTGAAGGAGATGACAGCGACCGGCGCGTCAAAGCACCACAGTATGCTGAAATCACTTTGACTTGCACTTGAAGGCATCTTTCAGGGAAGTAGGGCGCCTCTTGTGTGTGTGTTCTCTGTGTCATTCAATTTGAACATGCATCGCTTGTTTTTAGCATTTTGGTTTTCGCATGTGATACTTGTCGGAGCCTCACGTACGCACCGTGGAGTACGTACAAGACGGCGTTATGCGCGACAGCATGGCCGGAATTCTGAAGGTACTCTACATTAGTTACTCCCACTGTTGTGAGATGTAGGTCTATGACTTTGACGCTGAAAGTTATTAGTGGGATGCACACAGGCATAATACACAGATTGTTGCAGCACGGTTTTTTCGACCAGGTTTCAGGGTTCTATAGTTTTCTTGACCTTGGCGATGGCTCAATAGCAGTACCCGAACCCATCCCTTAGAGATTCAAACCTAATCTCCGCAGGGCGACGGAAACTTCACGAAGATAATTCGGGACATCATGACGCCGCTGGTGATGGCCAAGCTGCGAGAGGCGGAGGCAAGCGACATCGGGGACCTGGAGCAGCGCATCATGGACGCGGTGGCCCAAGTAGTGGCGGACGACATTGCATTCGTTGACAAGGTGCAGGCCATTTTGACAGCACACAAAGACTTATGAAATAGGGCGACACGTCCGCCTTGAGCTTGTTGACACGTGCTATGCATATTTCTGATCGATCATGTACAGAATTGAATATGGCCCCCGAAGGGAGCGCACCAACTACAGCAAGAGCAACTGAGGGAAGATGATATTTGTTGGCGCAGGAAAGTATCGAACGATCGACATGAGTTTTAAAATCCATCGTGGCTATCTTCGATGAACACATTATGCCGCATAGCAACATGTTTGGAGGCGGGGGCGAGTTTCCATAGCATGAGATGCGAAAGAGGCCGAAAACTCTGCGACCACTACCGCGCCTGCCGTCGGACTTTTCTTGCAGTTCGGCCAGTCTCTAAACCTGCGCCAGCTGCAGGTTGCGGGCTTCTACGGCCAGAAACATCTTCACAGCCAGCAAATCCGCGACGCAACTGCCGAGGACCTGGTGTTTGGAAAACTGCGGGAAAAATTACATGAGCACGGTAGCTTGGCGGGAAACAAGATGGTGCAGGAGACTGCAGGTAGTGCCGCCCCTGGCGGGAAGGCGTCGGACCTGGAAGGCACAGATACCAAATCTCCTGGCGCCGGAGCAGCTGATCAGTCACACACTAAGAAAGATGAAGAACAAATGACTGCGTCTGCGGAGAGGAGGGAACGGCAGGAGGACATTGTCACGCGCCTCGATGAAACAAGCATGTTCGACTACGAGCCGAGGAAGCAACATCAGCAGCGAGTTGATGGTCCAAGCTCCGGAGCCGGACCCTCTGCAACATCAGCAACGCAAAGTACGAAGACGAAACGTCATCTTTGTCGCTATCACTATCAGTTCCTATGAAGAACAGACACGATTTCATTTCCATTTTTTATGTATCTCGTCCATGGTCCTGCAGCTCCAGGTCCAGTTTGCATTTTCCGTATTTGACTTGCATCACATCACATTAAAGAGTTTTGATGGCATCACAGTTGCTGGCATTTTTATGGTTTGTATGTTCATGTTGTTGTGTCTGCATATCATCCACTAGATGGAAAGTTTTTGTGCTGGAAAGTTCTTGTGCATGCAGGATGAAAGTGCGAAGCAAGCGTCCTCATACTCAGAGTTGTGCTCCTCGGTACTACTGAAACTGGTAGCGTTCTTCTTCGTTTTCATACCGAATTCGGATCAGAACGCGGTCGCGGCCACGAGGTCTCCCGCGGAAAAATCAAAATCAGCTGCTGAACACGGAGCGGAAAAAGTAGATGGAGATTTGCTCCCCGCCCCCTCATCGTCAGCGCAACTGGAGCTGGCGTCAAGCCGACGGCTGAAGGGAACCTCCACTTCTACCGGAAGAAAAAGCGGTGCGAGCGGGGACGAGCCCACTGATGTTTCGGACGAGGCAGCAAAGAACCAGACGAGCTTCAACTTCGACAAGTTGTATCAAAGTGAAAAAAGCCCCCACCCCATATCGGAAACGGAAGGTGCGCGAATTTGTGATGCTGTATTTGAGTACACAAATCGACTTGTATTGCTAGAAGTCCAAGAGACGAGGCTGCGGCCTAAATTGCAGGCAATCTGTCACGTTGTTTCCCGCTTCTAGTTGCATCCTGTCATCCTGGAGCTGCAAGGCTTTCCCACGCTAGGCAGCACTACAGACCGCATCTTTTGCCTTCTAGCATCGCAAAGCTGACCACAAATCTGCATGACAGATTTCCGTTTTGATATGGGGAGGGGGCATTTTTCATTGTAATAAGTTGCCACTGGTGACCAAGGCGGTTTACGGTTATTTGGCGCAGGCGGACGTTATCACACACAAAGAGCCAAGTATAGCACAACACTTCTGTACGTCTGGCTACATAAAAGAAAAAAGATACTTCAGACAGAACACTCCATTTTATTCCTACAATAATTTTTCGCATGACATCAAATCCCTTGCATGATGTTGAGGATGCAAACTACCACTCATATGAATAGAACAAGGACGAGAAGCACATGCATCGAAGTCCTCGGAAAGATCTGTTGTCATGGGCTAGCCCCACCTGTCAGCATGCTGTTTAGGGTATGCGTATGCAAATTTCACTTTAGAAGTTTCGAGAACAAGAATGCTGCGCTAGCTCTTTCGCCGGCATGCACGTTCTTGGCCGGGCCATCGGGGATATGATTGTGGAAGACGAATCCAACGCGTGGCTGATAGAAATGGGCACCAAGCTAGCCGCGAACACAACCTTCGCTACAGACTACGTTCCTGGCATGGTTGGTCTGGAGTCAAATCAAAGCTTTTTAGTTTCCCTTTAAAACGTTAACACGCAGGAGCTGCAACTGTAATGGGAACCGTTTATGAAAATCAATCTATCATAGTAGTGGATAAGGATGTACAACAAAACTACTTGTACTACAACAGAGGCCCATCAATCATAGTAGTGGATAAGGAAATAGAATATTTGACGTGACTCCTGCAGCCGCTTTTTGCGTTGATACGGCTTTGTGGCAAACGATGCTGACAGATCAGGACTGGCTGGACGGCCTGATCGGCAAGGGGGTTGACTTCGATGACCGCTCGGGGGCGATGTTTCGCGACCACATTGCCGACCACATCATCCAGGATCGCAGACTCATCATCAATGTTGCGCACCTGCTCGTCGGCCTTCCCATCTTGACAACTACCAGCACCACTACCACCGCTGCGGGCATACTGTCTCTTGCAGAAACGGCACGGGAGGAGGAAAGAACCGGGGGCGAGGACAAGATACGAAGAGCAGACGAAAGGGAAGAAGCAACTTCCGCTGGTGGAAAGACTCGGCGCGCAGAGGTGGACCCGACGAGAATTACCGCAGTGGACGCGGCCAATGACCAAAGTAAAGCCGATGGCTCTTCGTCTTCACCAACTACCTCCTCTCTCATGTCGGTGATAGAAGCAAAACGAGCCGGCGAGGAAGCCGAAGCGTCTGTCAGGGACGGGACGACAGCTAAGGCATCCACTGGGGGCACCAGTAGAAGTTCGAGTTCCACAACAGTGGCGGACCACGAGGACGGAAAGAATACTGGTTTAGAAGACCACCTCCAGGCGACTTCGCAAGTTGACCGTTTATCGGCCTCGGAGAAAAAAGTTAAGATGGCGACCGACAGCGCAGTGGAAGCTACGAGGACACCGAATCCAGCACGCTTTGTGTTCGAAGCGCTCTTTGGCAAGAGTACCGATTCCGCTGCAGGAGGAGGTGCCGCGACCTCCTTTCTCGAACTGAAAGCCGAACGGGCGGAGCCAACAGGCGGCGCAAACGAGACCAGCGGCGCCATGTATCAGAGTGCACTGCTTGTCCTCTTCTTAATGCGAAGGGCATGGCGGGCAAGAACAGAGTCCTCGAGGGCAGAAGTGTAGTATACATAGTACTCCTATGTTGAATTGAAATGTTTGAAGTACTTGTTCTGGCATGAAAAAAGAAGACGGGATAAGCTGTGCACTGCGATACCGTGGAGAGCGTTTTGAAGCAGGCGGAGGCGAAGACGCAGCAACAGTTCTGGACGGATCTCTCGCTCGCTCTAGTGGACGATGACTTCTTTCTCAGAAAGGTGCTTTTTCTCAGGGGTCTTTTCTAGTCTTGCGTGTCGATGTCGCCAACATTTTGCCCCCTAGTAAATTTCAATTTCTGTCTGCTTTTTGTTCTACTTCAGGTGAGGTACCACGTGGAACAACGCACGAGACGTTATTCAAAAATCCCAGCTGTTTATGTTTTTTTCAACAGGTCTCTCATTTCGCACAGAAGAACGTGCTGGAGCGGCCGTTGGAGCTCGCGCTTGACTATCGACAGATGCTTGCGGAGAACATCGCGAAGAATCCGGATTTGCTCGAGGACGCTGTGAACGTCATCGCGAACAAGTTGCTCGCAAATTTCGACGCCTTTGTGGCGGAAATCAAGTCGAAAATCCTAGGTATGGGGCCCTTGGGCGAGACTTTCCTGAACAACGTCGCAGCCGAGCTGATCGGCGAACCCGTCATGAAGATGCCCGATGCGTAACTGCAAGCGAAGCAGCACGGGGTTTGCGAAAGTGGAAAGATCTTCTTCAAGCTTGATGGGGGCATCCGAGTCGTCTGAGCACAGTGTGTGTGGGTATTACTCCACGAGGCCGACAACGCGGGCAAGTTAGACATCAACTTGATTCTGTTTATACACCAAATCAACTAATACTAAATCTTCTAAACCTATCCCTATCCGCTGAGGATAAACTAAAATCTAAAGAAAAGACGATAACTCGAGAATAAAGTTTGTTATTTTAGTTTTTCACATCTGGATCTGGCCCTGGCCAGTTTCACGATGGCCTTAAACGCAAGAACACAAAGCTTTTTTTGGAAAATTTCAAGAGCGACGAGAACTCCTAAGCACCTGCGGGACGTCGAGGAGGCAAAAGCACCAAGTGCGAGTGTCGGTCTGTATTTGCAGCTTCTCACGGCGCTTCGTTGTGCTAATGTGGTTTCAAAGTCGGTGTATGTAGAGAAGGAAATGTATTGTACAATTACACTCTCATGAAAGATACGCAATGTCGTGCTGAAATTGTCTTGCAGGCACGTCGCCGTCAGCCGTGAAGGTGTTTCACGTGCTTTCTTCAAAAAACGGGCTTTGGCATAATAAATTCACATGGCTACCAAATCGAAATGAACCTAGACGCAGATATCACTTCCTTCCGAGGCCACCTTCTATATTCGATTTCCATCTCGATCTTCTTCTTCGCGACTCTGATGTGAGCGCTCCCGCCTCCATGTTTGTCTTTGTTTTGCAAAGACGTGCCTTCCCGCGAGAACTGTTCCCTATTGTTCTACCTGTCGCTAGTATTCCACGTAAGTTAACAACTTTTTCCGCTGAATATCAATATGAATGCGATGAATGTCTACTTCTACTTCATCACAAGGCCGGTATCTGCTTTGTAGCTTTTGCTTTTCATCAATCTTGACATACACGACGTTGCGTTGCCTTCACAGGGGCCAACGCCAACAGAGCAGGGATGAGCAAAAAGAGGAGCGAGAGTGTGTGAGCAGCTGTGTGTCTGTTCTGTAGTGAAACGAGTGCCTGTGCCAGGAAAATTGACGTAAAAACTACTCTCTCCTGTCTCAGATGCTATCAAAAACGATCTATTTCTATGCCTCTTTGTCATGATTTGCGCAAGCGCCGGAGTGGCGTCGACCCCGGTCAAGGTGCACTTCCGTACCAATATAAAAGAGGGAAAGTCAAAACTCTCTACTATATCTTCGATCCTTTTGAGATCAGACCATAGCGAGAAAATGGATGCAGTAAAGAAATCTAGAAGAAAAGCCAGGTCCTCGTAGATGAGTTGCCTTGATGCCTCCACCGAGGACCGCGGAATGTCGGTCCAATTTGGCGGATCGTCTGCGAGCTCGTCCTCGCACTGCGGCGGATCGACGTCCTCGTCATTAAGGACAAGTTGTAGTGCTCGAAGTAGGATGACCACGCAATCGCAAATAAAAACTCCGGGCGTAGCGTCCTCGTCGGCCAAAGGACCCGCTCGTATTGACCAGAGCATGGTGCGGACCAGGCGGGAAAAAATAAGACGAGGAGTCCGCGAAGACCGGAGGGCAGGCGCACGTCGGGCGGGGAGCGTGATCTCAGTTTCCGACACGAAGAACACTAGCTCTAGCACGGCGAGCTCGAGACCCTACCGTCGACGGATCTTTGCCGGGTGCGTCGCGCCTCTAGTTGCTTCAGGTGCCCTTTTGAACAAAAAACACGCAGGCTCGGGCGCGTCTCTGTGTCCTGCGGAAGAGGGCATCTGCGTCATAGATCCCGAAAGCAGCAAGGTGGTATTTTCGGCGCCAAAATGTGGAGCCTTCGGCGTGCAGTCCAAGTACACGATCCCCACGACTGGCGGCAGGTAAGACTCACTAGCATGAAAAGTGAATGTTGGTGATGATTGCTGCTATGAAAAGTGAATGTTGGTGGTCCATGTAGGTCAAAGATGATTGCTGCTATCATGCCTACCACGGCGCGGGCCAATATTTATACAAACGGATCTTCAAGAACAAATAAGCGATAGCGAAGGAACTACGAAGCGAGGGAAGACCTCCGCGAGCTTGACGTGCGGAAAATATGTGATTGAAGATAAAAACAACAACGCAGCTCCGTCAGTAGTTTCGCAGAGGTGATACCCGAGCCTGGTCATTTACTGCTCGAAGCCCGCACGTGTGACGCGTCGCACAGCTCCGATGCCTCCGCAGGAGAGTTGGTCAGTGCAGCGGCTCAAGGGAGTGGTGGCACAGCAACTTCCTCCGAGCTTGTCGCGGACGGCTTACCGGTCCTGAGTGGCTGTGCGTTTGCCAACTTGGATAAGCAGCTCCTGTACAACAATCACCACCTGACGCTCCAAGGGTGTACTCCCAACAACGCTGCTATGGAAGCGTCAGGTTTGAAATCGTCAAAGTTGAAATAATTTGTAATGCATAAAATGCATGACCTGAGGCACGTGCGTTGCAGAGTAGGCAAGTGAGGCCGATTGTAAGCCTGTTTGGGGTTACAGCTCGAGCTGCTGAAGTAGGATGAGGAAATCGCTCTTCTTTGCCTAAACAGCATGACAAAGTGGATTTAGGGACCACCGAAGTTTGTCTTGCGCCACTTGGAAACTGGGTCCCAACTCGCATCCATTTTATGCATGGCAAATTATTTCAACTTTGTCGATTTCAACTCTTACACATCCATAGCTGCCCCGAAAAGCCACACCGCCCAGTCCTCTACTAGCCTGGGCGCTCTGGCACTGCTTGAAAAAGAACACGGAGAGATTTCTAGGAGAAAGGGGGAGAATCACTATTTTGCGGCGTCACACCGACCCAGCGCACCAATGACCATTAGTTACCTGCAAACTTCGAAACAAAATCCCGCAGATGCGCCACAGCAGGTTTCTCTTTTTTATTTTTGATTCAAGGCCAGATAAGCATCAGGATTATAGCTGCCGCTTATTCCTCGTTGCCGAAAGAACTGTTTTGACTTTAGTACCTGTAGCTTGCTGGTGGTCTCTTGTCAGCTCCAGATCCACTGTTTCTCTCCTCCTCCGCAGACTTGTAATGCATTCAACTACCAAGGTCGTCTTCAAGGCACAAGGCTGCAAAATGTTTATCACTTTCGTGGGCGGCGTAACATCTGCAGTGGAAAACCTTGGAAATTCAACAGTTGAGGTAAATTCTGGTAGGATTTTCATTCTCGTTTGGTTGATGCCACGGTTTCCTCAGTGGCTTTGGCGCTTCTAGTTGTAGTTGTGCGTAGTTGCTTCAGATTGTTATTTGATATCATGAGACCTCCGAAAGAACCTTCGCTCTTCTTGTACGTAGTGGTATCGATAGATGATCTTGACAACCAACATCAACCAACATTTACAATTGAGGACGACACTTTCGTTCGCAAAGAGCAGAATGTTGCGGCCTCGCAGTTATACACCCATGTACTGGTGTAGTCGTGATCAGCTATTGAATATAATCAGGTGAAGAACTGTGCTCGCACCGGACATCAGATGGACCAGTATGGCATTCTGGTGTCCGGCATCAACTGCGAGGCTATTGACCTGCAAACGCCAGAGCAGGCAAACGTGCGCACGGAGGGCAACTTCACGCTGACGCAATGCCAGAAAACCAGCGTGCTGCAGGGTCCAGACGTGGACATCACCGCCAACCCTGCTGTAGCAGCTGCAGCCGCCGGAGCCGCCGGAGCAGCGGCAGCCGCGGGTGGTGGAACGCCCACACCAGCTGCAGGCGGTGGTGGACCGGCGCTACCGACACTGAAGCAGGAGCCCGTTGTGATGAGCAATCCGGGCGGCGTGGTTGCGGTGCCGAGTCGCGAGCTGCCACCGCGGGAGGCGCCTGCTGGGGACCACCAGGAGGTCGCGCGGGGAACTCCGGTACCAACGCCCTCGTCCGGCGCGTCGTCGTCCGCGGCGACAACTAGCAGTGCCGTCGTGCCAACTGCTGCTACTTCAGCGACGCAGCGGACTAGGACACAGGGAAAGGAGATCGCCGCAGACGAGCTGAAGAAAGTTGTCGAGAGTGCGGCCGAGGAACTCATGAAAGCAGCCCCAAGGAAGAAGGAAAGTACAACTTATTTTTGATGCGACAATCGTTGCATTTCTAATTATTCCAATTTCACGGTCAGGCTCAGGAGGTGGATTGTCTGCTAAACAAAAAATGCAGCTGCGTCCAAAGATTTTTTATCGCCTTGGTCTCTTGTCAGGTGGAAGTGGAACGGCAGTGGCGACAAGCTTTCTGCAAGAGCAAATGTTAGCTTCGGGGACAGCAGCACCATCACTAGGCGCACCGCAACCACTCGGGGCTGATGTGGGGTATTGAATGTCACTAAGTTTCATGTTTGGACGAACTTATCTGCATTTTTACATCATAGGCTCCGCTCTGCAGAGAGCGACACTTATAACATCACTAGCCGAAGAAAAATTGCAAGAGAGATGGCGCGCAACAAGCAGATGACTAGAGTCAATCGCAGATCATTTTTTTTTCGGAAAGTTCCGGGTCAGTTCTAAAATGAAGTTGTACAGGATGAGTGTATGCCTTCTGAACGCATTTCCATGTCGCGTCAATAGTTTCACACGCAACGTCGCCTCGCTGCTCTCACTTCAACGAATGTTTCATGCCATATCACACGACAAGCAGAAGCACGGTCAAGTTTGATTAGCTATGGATCTCTTCGATAGTAAGAATCAGAATGAGGATATTACGACACATGTTCAACATGGTGCGCTCCAAGAGCATGTAGCACGACAGAAAAATCAGAAACAAGTACGAGGTGCCTCAGGGATACTTTTCTCTGCTGGCGGAAGCAAGTCTAGACTCTTGACCTCTCTGGGCTTGCGTGGAGTTGGTCTGTTCTCCCCTCATCGGGCCTCGCTTTCCTCTTACGAAGAAAATAAGTACAAATAGAACCGGGCCGGTTTTGGAGCACTTTGTGTTTGCTCGCCACATTCTTATTGACGATCATCCAATTTATTATCTCAACCAAGATCGTGCTTTCCTCTTGCTCACAGCTTCGTGTAGTACAAAAAAGTCTGTTGCTTTTCCCGTTCGACGTATCTGTGCTTCTGTAGTGACTATGAATGGTACTTGGAGGACTTGGTTAGAAGTGTTGTCGTCTCATTGATTCCAGTATGCTTGTTTTCGAAGTTTAGTATGGTTTTTTTCTTGATAATCCAATTTGTGTGCGCCTCGTTGCTCTTGCTCTCGTGGGTAGAAAATGACGTGCGTCTTGATTGTCTCACAATCCTTGCTCCTTGTAACCTCCAAACGAACACGACAGACTCGTCGGCGCGGCGCTGCTTCAGAATCTTCCGCAGTGGGATCTGACGGAAATTCGACGCACTTTGCAGGAGATACGCCACGACGATGCGCCTCCATCAGCAACCGATAGGTTGACTAGAAAAACACCAAGCACGACAACCTCGTATAATCCGGCGCGGGAAATAAAAACGGCCGAGGCCAGCACCGGAATTCCGATACGGAGCGCGTTTAACATTGCGAGCAGACAAAGCGACCCAGGCAATGGGCAGAAAAATAAGGACGTCGACCCTATGGCCGGTGCGGCGTCGCAAATGCACCGTCCCGGAGCGGAGCCGGTCGCTCCTTCAGCGGTATCGAGTGCGCGGTCGCCTTCCGGCGCTGTTGTCACTTCCTTGCTGCAAGAGATGGCCTTGCAACTCGCGGCCATCGATCGCACGATGGATCAGCGAACGCAGGGCGAAGCCGCATCGGAGAGGACGGGAGCAGAGACCAAAGAGGTGACATTCGCAGTAAAGATCGGGAATCGTGATAGCGCGGCTAGTGGCACCGGTGATAATGATCGCGACGAAACCACCGCAGCTGCGCCAACAGCCGCAAGCTTGGCAGAAAAAGCTCGAGAAATACTGGCAGAGCGCCGAAGTCAAGAAAATGGGAGAGAGGACGCCGACGCCGTCGAGGGTCGCAGTAGACTCGACGGGGCTAGTGACGACCAGGGAGAGGAACAAGCAGATGGTAGCTCCAGCAAAACAAATCAAGTACCACCTCCGCCAGGCGCACCGGCCGCACAACCGGGAGCAGGTACGCCCACGGGAACCCCGGGAGGTCTTCCACCGATGCCGCCTCTGAGTGTTCCCTTGCCCATGCCACCAGTGGCCGGGCTAGTTGGAAGCACGCAACAGCCACCGACGCAAAGCGGCTCACAACCAGCGCCTGCAGGGGCGGGCGGGCCGGGTGCTCCGGCGAGCGGCAACAGCGCACCGAGTCCGCCGAACACAAACGGCAACAGCAAACCCAATCCGGATTGTGACGACAAAGAACAGGACCCGGTGCCCGATTTTTGCAAAAGCGCCGCACTGGTCACGAATGCAAACGACAACGCGCAGACACCCCCGCAGACCGCACCATCGGGCGAAAATTGTGACGCAGCGCGCACGCGGTACCGCAAAGCATTGGCTGAAGCGGGCACTGCGATCGCTAACGCGGTTTGCCAGAACGGCAAGTTGTTCAAGACCGACGCGTTCAAGTACAGGTGCAACCAGAGTCCCTGCACCCAGGACGACGACGCGGTTTGCTGCGACGGCGAGACGTCGAACTTCATGGACTTTGCGGTGATGGACCAGACCAAAGGGAAATTGGATTTCAGCTCGGGGAAGTGCGGGTCGATTACCGTCACGGGCGGGGACGTCAACCTGTCTGTGCCGAACCGCCCGGGCACGAAGGTGACCGCGTGGGACTGCCAGAGCACGGAGCACGACCCGTCTTCCGGGGGCACTGCACCGGACACGCTGGACATCACTGTACGTGGCTGCACCAAGGTCGAATCCGACCCGCCGGGAATACGTATTGCAAAAGCATCGCAGTAGTACGAAATTCGGAAGGATGCTGTGTTTATGGATAGAAACTTGAACTGAAGATGAAGAAGAATTGGCCTTGTATGAAATACTGCTGCTTGTTATGTGACTGCCGCTTGTCTTTGACATGTACTGTCCCTGCAGCAATTCAAATTGCTACTATACCATTGAGCTCCTGTGCGATTGCGGCATTTTTGCAATGCACAGGGGAACGACAACAACAATTTGGTGGAGAGCAACGACGGGAAGCACACGGTGAACATCATGGCGAAGGCATGCCAGGGCACTAAGATCGTCAGCGAGCAGCGGGAGAATACGGCGAACTGCAAGGAGGGCGACAACGTGAATAGTGTGGCCTGCAGCAACATGGGCCGCAGCCTGGGGTCATCCTGCACCTGCATGTGGCACGGAGTGGCGTACCCGGGCACATACCAGGCAAACGTGTCCGGGCAGACCTTCGACGCCGCCGCCGCGCCGCCGAAGCCGGTTCTGGGGATCAGCAAGGACCCGCTGGCGTGCGTCTGCGCCATTACCGGCGACTTCGATCCGAAGCCGTTGCCGGGAGACATTACACCGTGGACGCCGACCGGGATGGGCTACTGCACGGACGCGAAAAGTAGCCGGCTCTCTATCGTGCCGTTTCCGCGGGCCTCGGATAACATTCTGGCCTGTCAGTACCTTTGCCAGAACGACGAGACTTGTACCGGGATGGACTGGCGGGAGGGGTCGCGGGTCCAGACGGCCATGTGCGCGCTCGTTCTGGAGAAAACGGCGCAAGGCGCGGCCACGCAGGCAGACGGGAACGCGGCGTCGAGCGTCAGCTGCTACGTACGCCCCGGCCAGACGGTGGCTGCGCCTCTGATCCCAACTTCGGTGACAGCGACAACGACGGATGCTGGTGCAGCCGGCGCAGCGGCCGCGGCTTCCGCGGGCACTTCTGCGCTTCTGCAGTTGCAAGGTACTGCTTTTGGAGGGCAGACGCCAGCGGGGGGAACGTCTTCCTCTTACATGAAGATCGGACTCGGAAACCGCCCGTGCCAGAGCGAGCAAGCGGGCGCCGAAGTCACCTTCATTGACAAACCGGCGGCCAAGTCGCGGGACGATTGCTTCGCGGAGTGCGACAAGATGGGCGGCTCGTGTGTCGGCTTCGAGTGGTCCATTCCGACCGGCATCGCGGTGCCATCCTCTCTGGTTGCAACGCAGTGCCGGCTCGTATCTGCGCCAACCAGGCTCGCGACGCGCAGCGTGGAGGAGCCGGGCAGCGAATTCTTCAAGGAGTGCTTCATCAAGCCGAAAAACCCGATCGAGTCCTACAATGAGGTAGACATATGCATGGAGTTTATTCTGCAGCGGTTGCTTGTGTTTGTTGTACGTTCTTTTGATGTTGCGCGAGTTGGAATTGTTTATGCGTTGGACAACAAAATGAAAATGCATGATCGTGATTAAGATCATTGACGTATCGACCTTCATCCAGGTGGGGTCTGGTGCATGCAAATCCGGTAGCGCGCCTTCGGAAGGCGGCGCAGCGCTGCAAGCCAGCCCGATGGGCTCCGGTCTCAGTTACTCCAATTGCGCGTTCCTTTGCCAAGGCGAGGCCCAGAGCGGTGGCGGTTGTCAGGGATTTGCATACGATTTTGTGCAGTGGACGTGCACGTTGTATTCTGGTGCATCAGCATTGATCGCGGCGGGAGACGCAGGAATCAGCGACCTCTCCTACTCAAAACCCTTCTGCTACTCGAGCCTCGTAGTTGTGACGGCTAGTCCCGCAGCAGCAGCAGCAACCGCCGCGGCTCAGCAGTTGGCAACCACGCAAGCACCGACTGGCGCAGCAGTTGCCAGTGGCGCATTAGCGCCGACAGGAGCAGCTGGCGCTGCCGCACCAGGTCAACCACCCGTTGCTGCTGTGCCACCGGCCGCTGTTGCGGGTGTTCCACCAGCCGCCGCGCCACCTACGCCCGCATCTCCAGCAGGAGCAGCAGCCTCTTCCGTCCCTCCTGCCACACCACCAGGCACGGTGCCACCAGCAGCCACGGCGCCAGCTTCTGCCATTAAGGCACTACAGGACGCCGGAATCATCCCTCCAGGCCTAGACGCGCAGGGCATTGCAGATATTTTGGCAAAAGTTTCGAATGGCGCAATCGCGAGCGGAGCTGCACCACCCGGTGGAGTTCCCGCACAGCCTGGCAATTCTTCGCAGAGCACAGTTGCGCCTCCGGGCGGCGTACCGGGTGGAGTTCTCCCGAGCCAGAACGCAACAATAACAGGAACAGCCACGACGACAGGGCCAGCGCTGCAAGGTAGTTCCGGCGCATCGGCATCAACAAGCGCGCCACCTGGGGCTGCTGGTGGTGCGGCCACTACCGTCGCACCAGGAGGAACGGCACCGCCAGGGTCATCATCAAACACCACAGCAGGTAGCAGCACGGGCGTGGCACCAGCTGCAAATGCCAGTGCAGCAGGAGCAGTAGTTCCGGCAACTTCTGCCGCTGCTGCCAATGCAACTTCCACGACCACAGGAGCAGGAGCAGCCGCTGGTGCGGGTAATACCTCAGCCACGACCGCCGGAGGAAATGCAAATGTTACTGCCACGACGGCAGCGCCGCCGGCCGGCGGCGCTGTAAGCGGTACTAGTAACGCAACCGTTGATGCCAACAGCACCAGCCCCAGCAGCAAGAGCGCCGCACTCCTCGTGCGAGAAAGTCGGGAAGAGGACGGGGAGTTCCTCTCCACACCGAGTGGGCAGCAGGCAGACCGAATCTATGAGGAAGAAGGCAAGGACGAGCAAAATCTACCCGCAGACGAGGAGTTCGAGGGTCCCTCATCATCGAACCGGGCGTTTCTTTCCGACGTGGCGGAGGACGGGTCCGAATTGCCGCCGCCAGAAGAAGACCAGGAAAGGCCGCCCGCCCTGGGTGATTCGGTGATGCTGAGCGAACAGGGAGCGGAATCAGAGGACGTCCCAAGTGCTGATTTTCAAGACCATCAGTGGTTCGGCTCCGACGACGGCGTGGGCGACTCGTTGGGAGAGTTCCCCGACATACCCGCATCCGCGGCTTTCATTCAACAGCGAACTACCGCCAGATCCGCGGCGGAGGTGGAACAGCAGAGACCCCCGCGGGGACGTGGTTTTCGTGATGTTGATGACAATGAGTGGGCGTACGCGGACGCGGAGGCGCAACGAGAAAAGGATCAAGCGCTAGAGGCAGCAGATGCCCCGCCGACGCTCAGTAGCATCTTTGCCAAGTCGGAGCAGGTAAATCTCCAGGAACGGGCGCAGCTTCTGCGAGACATGCCCAGTGACGAAGCATAGCGGGGGTGGCCGGAACTGCAAATATCTCTCAAGATGAACGCTGTGCATCTGGTAATTGATCGAAAAGCGCATGTGCAAATCTAGTAGAATATAGAATTTAAGAATTGTATTTTGACATACAACTATACTTACAACAGCAGCTTTAGCTGCGGATTCAAGTACGCAAGTTTCAGTTTCAAGATTCGTTACATTATGATGCGAAAAGCTTCTACGTATGCTGTTGCTGTCGCTGCGTAAAAGTCTCGCACGGTCATAAAGGCTAAGTTTTATGTTTCAGTTGCTCAACGCGGCGCACAAGAAGCGACGTAGTTGCAGTGTGGAATTTTGTTGAGAGTTATGTCGTTCCAAGAAAAGCGTCACATTGAATCTACAAGGTAAAGAAACAGAAGAAATACAGAAAGGAACTAACCAGTTTTGTAAGCGTAAACCTAAACGGGAAAACAGGAAAGCGAAAGTAGAAAGCAATCCCACTTTTGCTTGTTAACTTATGAAGAGTGAAAGATAACCTGGCTGCCACCAAGTGGTTTTTTTTTTCGTTTTTTCATCTCGTCTTTTTTTCATCTCCCAAATGCAACTGTATCAAGCAGGTAGAACATCATGGAAGGAAATTTTTTATCATTGCGTGTCGTCTGATTTGAAGAATGCCTCTTCCGCCCGTTAAGTGTTGTCATGTACAGACAAGTGGGGATCGGATTTACAAAATGCAGATGGCAACGAACCACATATACTACAAGAATGCACATGGAGCCAGCGCTTAGATAGATCTAGAACCTCAAAATAATCGCAATGTACTTTATGCCACTGTACATATAGAATTTTAGGGAACAACAACAAAAATAAATAGGAAAAGAACAAAAGTGCAAGAGTGAAAAGCACCCACTTATGCTGCACCAGTCAAGCCCATAATTGATGATAATGTTGTGTCTTCATCGCTCGTAGTCTTTCCTGCTCTGTGCAGTACAGTACCGTGCGCGGTGACGTTTGCTCCATCAGGGTGCAAGAACTGAAAATGGGATGGAGATTCTTTGTCGAAATCGCTCTTTGGCAGTAGACTCGAAATCGTACATGTCGTTTTTGGCGCATTCGTTTTCGTCGGATAAAACTGAGAGTTATGGAAAGTTTTTCTGAGAAGTGTTGTCGTCATCTCCTTCCTTTCGTTTGTTTCGTCGGCCGGTTTTGTTGAAGATTCACTGCTAGTGCTAATAGTTCTAATTCCACCGTTCTCGTTGCCGTGCTACCACGACCCGAATCCCAGTTTGAGTTTTCGCTGGCGGTAGTGCACACATCGCGTGCTCACGATGCACATCGATGATCGTGCCACTTCGGAGACTTCGACTTCCATTTCCAGATATCCCCTGTTTTACTTCTTAGACTAGACGGACTTTGCCGAGCTCCAACTCGTCTCAGCAGCTGGCAAATAATTAGGTGGCTTTTTATTGCTACTGTCACTTTTAAAGCAGCACATCCACAGTCACAAAAGAACGAGAATCTAAATATCTCAAGCAAACCAATGGTTTTTGCGCATTTGCATAGCGGAACCGCATCTGGTTTTCTCGATGCCTTGTGGTCTTCACCAGAACAAGTTTCGTCCACAACCTCCTCCCGTTCCTTTTCTACTTTCGCGACCATGCCCCCAAGACGAGTGAGGGTGAGTATCAGGACAAGAGAAACGAGCTTTTACGACGTTCCCGGTCCCGAGCAGGACATGGACTGGCGGCCCCCGATATTCGACCCACAGTTGAAATACTTCATTGACCTCGCACGGAACAACTTTGAAAAGGTCACGATGGCACGGAAGTCAGCGCAGATGGCCGCCCACATTGCGAACCTGGCGAGCACCGCCGCGATCGTCAAAAGCCACCAGCTCGTGTACGACATCAAGCATCAGAGTATCCGGCCAGAGAAGGAAACCCTTGACAGCGTGGCCCTGGACGAACTCGACGCCACCCGGCGGTGCGCAGACACGGGGTACTGTAGTCCCACGCCCGCGCAAGCGAAGATGTGGGACAAGTTTCTCGACGCCCGGGGATCCCATGCGGAGGAACCCGAGATCAACGCGGACACGATATCGGTACCAGGTGGTGCAGAAGATGCGGAAGCGGGAGGAGGTGCGGATGAGGCATCTGCACCAGAGCCCGTAGGGGAGGAGCAGGTGGTGCAAGTTTGAGAGCTGGTCGGCTCGCGTTGCAGTGCGATTGAGCGTCAAAATCAAGTTGCGAAGATGTAAAGCTCAAGGTGAAGAAGAAGATCACAAGAGGAAGAGCTGTTAGTGTTACCTATGCGTGTTGCTCCACATGATTGAGTCTACACTGAAACGGTTTTTTCCAGCAGTGAACAAGGAGCAATTTAGACGGCCTATTTAGGCAGTGTTGGTACACTTTTCTTCTCCTGTTGCGCATTGATTTGCTCCCCGTCTCCGCGATGGTTCACCTGCGAGAGTGGGAGTGCGCTGTTTGTGCTCGTTCTTGTTTCTTACTGTGATCAGACTATTTTTTCAATTTCATGTTCAAGTTAGGAAAGAACAATCACGATCTGTCACTGTCTCGTTTCTATTGATCCAACTTCCAGAAGCGAGAGCGACAACCTTTCGACCTGTTTTTTACAGTGTGTTTGTCACTCAAACTCCATGCCAATTGCTTCGTTCAGATGTTCGCGTTATGTTGGGGACGATCTATGATCATTTACTTGATTCGGATGAGCACGACTCTGATCAAACAGCATGAAGTTCCATGAGGACAAAAACAGATCAAACTACATCAACAGTATAGTGAATATGATTTCGATATAAAAGTTTCGATCTGTACAGCTCTATCTGCTACCAATAAATATTCCATTACCATTCGCATACCACGTTTGACCTGATTCATTTAGGGAATAATTGCAAGAACGGGGCATCGCTCAGCATGCCCGGCATGGCTGCGACAGAATCTATGCAGCGAGTTACCGACTGTCCTCGGCGATTAGTCTATCTGCTTGACCAGCTTTCGAAAACGGCAGCAAAGACGGGCTGTCTGCCGCAGCCACCACGGCGGACCCACACTTTCGATCAATCTATAGATCCTGGTGTACAAGGTGTTGACCATGCAGGAGCAAGCGTTTTCGGAAATGGGGTCCCCGATGGCATGCGTGCAGAAGTCTGGCACCACGATAGTTCGGACGCAGCATCGGGCTCGACGAGTTGGGCCATGGCCGCAACGACTAGCGACCGGCATTCGAAGAAAGATGCCAGACAAGAATTTCTCGGAGTCTGGAATGTTTACGCAACCACAGCGCGGGTACGATATGGAAGCAGATGGCGGTGCTCCCTGCTGACGTGTCATAGGCGACCAGTGCTGTGCTTCTAGAGAGCGTGCTGACATCAATTTTGCATTGTAACAACGTACACGTTACTGTGTTGCTGCACCTTTTCAAAACCGATACTACACTAGATCAAGATAGAACACAGCTGCTCAACATGTACAACCAAGTGCAAGTGTGTATCGGTCGCCTGTGATCATGGTGACTTTTTTCGCGTGTACAGGACGACCTGGTTCCCAGCATGACTATCTCGGAGCTCGCAACGGTCGTGCGTTGCTGTTGTCGCGTCCGTTTCACGAAGCACTCACTGCTGAAGCGGATCTCGGATCGGCTCTACGTCCTGCTTGAGAAAGCGTTTTTGCAGCAAACACTGGCAGAGACGACTACAAGAACAGCACGGACCACACGGTCCACTGGAAGCTTAACAACCACGAGTCCAAGTTCGGGCCCTAGCAACGATGGTGCCTACCACGACAGCAAGAAGATCCTAGACGCGAGAGAACTTTGTCAATTTTTGCACGACCTCGCGAAACTCGAGTATCTGAAACCGGACCTCTTTCTGCGGTGGCGTAATTTGGTCACCGCACACGCGAGGGGCTTGGGAGCCTGGCGGTCCTTCGACCTGCCTCTGCTGGTGACCACCCTGGCGCGCATCGGACTGCGGGACACGTATTTACTCGCTGCCGTCAGTCGCGAGTTGGCGTCTCGACTCCAGAATGATCTTCAGGACGAGCCTTCGCAGAAGCTATCCGCAAGACGGGCGGACGCGAGCGCGGGAGTGGCTGCGTTCCTCTACGGAACCGCAGTGTTGAATTACGTGGATCCGCACGTGCTCGATGTCCTCGACTACAGTAGAAGCTTGCTATACGAGTTTTCCGTGCGGGAGCGAACTAATGTCGCATTTGCGCTTTTACTCTACCGCGTCGTCGCCATGGATCCTGTGCGAGGTGCTGTGAACAGTGGAAGTTTGATAGCTGTTGACGACAGCCCCCGCCCGAGGACAGCACACAGCTACCCTGATCACGACCACCCGACGGCCACCGAACGACCTGGGGCTGCTGCACGTCAAATAGACAAGTTTTTTTCTGCTCTCATCCTTGACAACCGGGTGCTCGCGGAAACTGACACCCGAGCCCGACATCAGCTTCGGATTCTTGCAGCGAGCGTAGAATGTGGGTTGATTTCGACGGCCACGCAGGATGACACAACTTCTGTGCGTTCCGGCGAAGGACGACCTACTGGTTTCGACGAGCTCTTGGACGCCCACGGGCTTCGTGGTAAGGGGAGACATGGGTCGTGTGTGGAGTTGACAACGAACACGCACACATCTGTGTTCCAAAAATCAGCGCGGCGCGTCTTTGAGGAGCTTGGTGTCGTCTACAAGGAGGAAGTTCGCGTGGGTCCTTACCAAGTGGACTATCTGCTGAAGCATCGGGTCGCGGTAGAATTCGACGGCTATTCGCATTTCTACTTGAACTTGCACAGCGCCGAAGAGCAGCGTGAAGTTCTGCATCGTCAAGATGATGATCGGGTGGCTACGGCGACACCGGAGCAGGCACCGAGATCAGCAGACAACATCCCCCGAGGAATGGAAAAGGCAGTGGCCGACAAGAGTTGCATGCAGCACCTGCGAAAAGCAAAGACGCTGCTGAAGCACGCGCTACTGGAAGCGATGGGTATTCGGGTCGTCAGCGTCCCGTATGCGGATTGGCTTTCGGGTCGGCAGTTTGAGAAAAGAAAGGAGTTTTTCGTCAATTCGCTTTTTCAGCAAACCGGTTCGACACAGTTGTCTGAGTTTCAACAGCAGTTCGGGATCCGTAGGAATCAAAGCGGTCAACATGAAAATCCTCGTGACCAAAACACGAGGACGTGCGGTGTCGTTTGTTAGATTTGCAGAGATGGCTCGGGCGGAACAAAATATTCCGAAGCAGAAGAAATTACTCTTCTGGAAGATGCTTTTATACCGCACTATCGGATGTCAAGTCGACACAATAGAAGAGCCGACTACAAGCTACACAGTTTTGCCAGATCCAGGTCCTTGCATTTATTTGTTTGAGTTGTGTGCTTTTCTGCCTCCTGATCCCTCCTTTGTTCGTGAACACACCGAGGGCGGAGCAAGATGCTGTTCTATTTGTTTCGCTTTCCGTTTCCGTAATTTTCATGTTGTGAGCGGCTCCGGCCCCCCCAAAATCAAAAAGTGCCTGCGTTGCGCTTTGTCGTCGATGTTTGTGTTGTATCTATCAGTATGATCTCTTTGCGTTCATAACTGAGGAGACATCTAGAAGCAAGGAACAAACTTACGCACCCTTCTTTTGTTTCTTGAGCATTGATAGGCCTGGCTTGACTACGAGTGAAACGCAGAGTTGTATACCAAAATGACGAATGAGGAAGAAACCTCAATGCAAGAGGAACAGGGAGACTGAAACTTTTGGTTTTGTCGAATGCGATCAACTTGATCTTTGCACCTACAAAGCTCCGAGTAGATCTCCGCCGTAACTAGTCGGTGGCGCAGTTACAGCTTACTCCTTCTTGTTATCGAAATTTCAAAGTAGGAGTAGGAGCTGATTAGGCACTGTATTACAAGTGGCACTGGAGTAGCTTTTTGCAGCTGGCGCTGCTCCTGCTTCTTCTAGTACTTCTTACTTACAAATAAGAGCGCTCGGATAACTTTTGTCACAAAAATAACGAAACACTATCACCAGCACCAGGTGCAGTTTCTTGCTCTTGCAACACTTTTTGTTTATGAGAAAGGTCGATAAGTACACCCTTTTACCCTCAGTATTTTCTGAGATGGAAAACGTAGGAATTACAATCTGTTGCTTTTACTCAGGAAAAATTGCAGCCTAATGCTGGTCTGAAAGCCATATGCTACAGAGATTGACTCTGCGCATGGTCGTGCAACAGCTTCAGTAGCATCTGTCGAGCAATCATGCCTCCTGTAACGCTTGTTACCCGCGAGGACGCGGAGCGAGAGGAGCTTGAACATGAACTCCGAAGCCGGACGTCACGGACTGGGACTGCCTGCAACGTCCGTATCGTTGCAGCACATGGTTTGGACGACGTAGCAAGAGCAACTAGGAAGAGTAGAAAAGATGAAAACCGGCCAGTCACAAGCGCGTTGCCAGAACCAGAAGGTTGCGTTCCAAAGTACGAATTTCCTGACATGAGCCCATCTGTGGGCGAGGAACGTGAGCAGGGTCTGCAGGAACTGGCGATGGAATTGCGGCAGCAACAGCAGGGCAAAACTGGGTACACACTTTTGAATCTGGAGAAGGGATCCGCGCGGTCGGCCTGTTGGGGCGACGAGGCCGCTATGGACGAACTAGTGCAGAATTTTGACGATCAAATACGGCTTCGCGTGCCGGAGGCCATCCGAAATGTCGTGGCTTTTGAGAAACAGAGTTTTTCAGCGAAGGGCAGTCACGGCGGTCGCGTCTACCTGTTGGACAACAAGAAAGGACGAGCACCATCATCGAAAGCAGGCTCGTCGGCACCAAAGAAGTCGTTTCTTGGTTGCGTCATGGTCTGTGATCCCTACATTTACCTCTGCAACTACAAGACCATTTTCCGCCCGCGAAATCTGATCATAGGCTACACGGGGACGGAGAAGAAGGGGGAAAACGCGAAAACCGCGAAGGGCTGCTTTGGAGACGGTTTGAATTCGGCCCTGTCAAAGCTTCTGGAGATGCAGCGCGACGTGGTGATTATCACCTGTGGGTTCGTCTATACCTTCGGTTACGGCACGGCCGATTCTGCGAAGGACGTTCAACAGTTGCGCTACAGCTTGTCCGACTATGCGGCCTACATGCGCGACAAGAAAGCCGAGCGCTCACGTCCGAAAGGCTTTAGCCGGGCGGCACAGCACGTCGAATCCGCAATCCCGCCAGAGTTGCACTTCGACAGCGCACAGGACACGTTGGTGCGCATTTACATCCCGCAGTTCGCGCTCAATTACTCCCGGTATCTGTTTTTCCTCCTCCCAAAGGATTTGGCACCGGTGCGCACGCACCGAGATCCGGAGGGAAGAAGGCAGGGGAAGGAGTTGGCGGCCTCTGCACGAAAAGCAAAAAGCTTCGGGACGACGTTACAAAACTCCTGTGCCAAGGCGGACGTTGTTGGCCGCTGTGAGGTTTTGACCGGAGAAGGTGCTTGCGGCGGCATCTATGTGAAGGAGATGCGTGTGGTTGAGCCGCCAAGGCGAAGGACGAGCACCAAGGCAAAGTCCTGTACTTACGGCGACAACTTCCTCGGGCCCTTAAGCGCTTCTTTTGGCGGAAATGACGCAACGAGCAATCCACTGCTCTTCGGCTACAACCTGCTTGACTTCAAAATGGAACATCGTGACCGTCTTAACAGTTTGCGGGACGAGGTTCGGCGTGGCGCTGTGGCGCGTGCGTGGGCGAGCTTCTTGCAAAGCGACTGGATTTCGCGCGATGAGCGGGAGTCACTGGCCATAATGTTCCTGGAGAGGTTGCTCGCGTTTTTTCAGATATCGAAACCGAAGGACGAACCTCCATCAGTAGAAGCCAGTAGCTCTGCTGTGCCTCCGAATCATACTACGATCAAAGGTAGTGCGGCGATTCCGTTTGAGCTTCGCGTGTTGTGTGAGGACAGAACTGACGAGACCGCGGTTATTGTGCAGTACCTGCAGGAAGCATTTCACAAAAAGTTCAAAAACGCCCTTCCGTTCTGCGTAAAAAATGGTAGTCCTAGCGCAGCAGCAGGAGTGGCGGATTCTGAAAACAGGGAGCGCCAGATCATCGTCGACCTCGGTAAAATACCGATCCCTGTCCCGGATCAGCTGCATCAGGTTTTGTCGGAAGGCCGGGAATCAGCCGAGCGCGAGTACGAGCGCGCCTGCTTGCAAGAGCTTCAGGATCACGCGCCCGTTTTGGAGGGCTGCGAAGCACCGGAGATGCTTGGTTGCAGCGAAAACGCATTTGGCGCGGTGCGCAGCGCCTTGGAGCAAGGTTTGCAAGCTGTTTTGCCGCCTGACGTGCTCGAGAGGAACCAGGTGCACTTGGATATCGTTTTCGGGCAAGCGACGACGGCGCAGTGCGTGGCACTGGTCAGTGGTCCGGAGCGTTCAGAGTTTCAATTTAGCGGCTTCGGTTGGGAAGAGCTCGACGCGCGCGCTTTCCGAGTGGACGAAACGACTCTGGTGAACGGACGGCCAATTTTTCGGGCAGAGCGGAACTTGAGGGAGACACACCAGCGGATCGAGCTCTTTCTGTACTACACAAGGCGGAGCACCAACTTGTCGTGCGGTCCTGACGAACAACAAAATTTCTCCAGCAACGGGAGTGGTGTCGGCTCTTACGCGATACAGAAATTTTCGCCGGAGAATCTGCAGGAAGTGCGCAGCTTGACGGGTATCGCGTTTTACCCCCTTGCAGAGCTCATAGGGGAAGCGGATTTTTGGATCTATGAACGCAGTTCGTGGCGAGTGCACTTCCAGAACATTGGAAAGCATTTTTCCCCTGCCCGACCCGTCGAGGCTTTCTCATTTGTGGAGAAGAAAGTGGAAGTTGTCGCAACTGGACCAACATCTGCTACTCCTGCTGCAAAAAAGAACTCGGCCCGCGAGCGAATCGACATATTCGCCAATTGGACGGCTTACAAATCTCGGTTTCTATTGCGCGAGAAGGAAAAAACCGCTGGAGTAGCCGGGAGAAGAGCAGAAGACGACACTGATGAAAGCAGTTCCAGTTCAGACGCGGAGCAAGGCGGCCGCTTTGGGGAAATGCACTGCTTTGTCAGCGAAAGCCTGAAAGCCGTGCGCAAGGGCTTTCAGAAACTGCGGATACCGCAGCCGCAATTTGCCGACGGCGGAGGTGACGACTGCGTTACAGTGAGCAACATCATTTTTCGGCAAATCACAGATGCGTGGAAAAAGAAGGCGAAAAACGCTACTGAAAGCACGCTTGATGTGGATCGTCGCAAGAGACGAGACAAGCAGACACAAACCGCATCATGTAAACTCGCCCATGTAGCGTCGCAAGTAGATGTAGATCTTGATGCACTTCCGGCACAGCTCTCAGCGCAGCAGCTTACTTCATCGTCTGAGAGCTCCGAGAAGAAGGAAGCGCCTTCGCGAACTAGGTCGACAACCACAGTGACAGCAAGTGCGTCCGCTTTTTGTCCGACTCGGAATCAGCGTGTCGGAGGACGGTTGAGCTGCAAACGCCACAAGCCTGCCTCGCTGGCACGACCGTCTGGGGCGGACGAGCGCCGGAGGGTTTTCAAAGGTCGCAACGGGTACTACCCATTCAGTCCGGAGCGTCCTCGAGAGACGACGGCTTCGAAGCGTAAATCCGTTTCGAAAAAGCGAAAATCTTCATCTCCTTCGAAGGAGAGAAGAAAAAAGAGAAAAAAAAGCGAAAAAGTCGAAGACGAGGACAGCAGTGGCGACGGCAGCAGTACAAGTAGCAGTGACAGCGTAAGCGACAGCGAGCCAGCTTCAAAGCGTCGAAAGAGAAGCCACAGCCGACGGAAGGAGAGAAGAAAGTCAAAATCCGTCCGTCGGAGAGAGAAAAGTCGAAAAAGCTATTCAAAAAAAAGAGCTGAAGTAGAAGTCAGCAAGGAAAAGTGCGGAAAAATAAAGCGCACACACGCGGCGGCGGCCCGAGATGACCAGCCTGCGCGGTCAGCCATGTTGACCGAGGAATCAAGCGAAATAAATGTAGCTCCTCCTGCTCCTGCGACATTAGCGCCTCTAGTATTGGAGCCCAACGAAGCTTCCGCATCGTCTAACAGTAACAGACCAGCAGTTGTGCTTCTGGAACCTGCCGCGCATACGGGCATAGCCACGCCGCGGCACGACCGTAGAGGTGTGGACGGACCGGCAGTGTTACCGGGCACGCCGTCCTCTCCGCGGGCGCGACCAAAATCTCCGGTCGTATCGCCCCCACGCATGGTGCCCCAGCAGGGAACAAGACTCGTGAAGTTCGGAGGGGTGGAGCTTGTTGCAAGGAAGAGCAACATGAACGATACGCCTGCTAGTAGACCAGGAGCAAACACAAAAGGGGAAAGCCGGGGCAATGCTAGGAAGCACTACAATGTGGACGACTACGACGCGAGGGCTACTTTTCGCGACCGCGCAAATCACCACCACTACTACTTCCGAAAATAGCGTAGCACTATTCTTGCAATCTATCATCACTACATCATCATATGATAGATGCTGGAACTACTGGATGTTCCGCTTCTTGTGCCCGATCCTGTGCAACCCGAAAACGCAGAGTCAAGAGCAAGAAAGAACATGATTAGGATGGAGATGATGAAGATGTCCTCAGTCAAGGCAATAATCCTTGAAATATTTCGGGCTGACGACGAGGAAAGCAAGCACATATATGAATATGCGAACATAAACATTGCAGTTGCACTGCATGAGCCTGCTGTTGTTCTAAGTCTAAGTTCATTTGTGCTTTGTTGATTGCTGTGCTCTGATTGCGGTATAACAAAGTGAAGAGGTTTAGTCTGATGAAGATCTCAGCCTTTGCCTTTCGTCTGATCGCCGCATCATTTTCGGGAAATGCATGCAGCAGGTGCTGCATAGCGAACACTGCGACTTCGCTAGGATTAAACAAAGTATTGTGACTTCTGCTTCGCGCAAACAAGGATACTCAGGACGGCGTCACGATCTCGAATTTGAAAACGGCCTGTTGCGACTCAAATAGATTTTAGAACCTCCACAGTTGTACTATGAGTATGATACAACTCGGGAAAACACAGTCGTGAAGGAAGGCGCTATCATGTGATACCTGCCAGCCAGCTCCAGCTTAGCCTTAGTGTAGCTCGCGAGTAGGAAAAATATACTTCTAGTAGTTAACTGAGTTGCAAAGCGAATAACGTACGGAGATGGTCCCAGTACAAGTAGAACGCTCTCAACCCGATATCTTTTGAAGCGTGGCAATAAAGAAGAAATATTGGCCCACCGGCCTTGTTGTTACCTCGTGTCATTTTAGCCCAAAGATGGCGGAGCAGGTGCGCGTGAAGCGCGAGGCGGAGTCACCGGACGAGGGGGCTGCCGCAGCGAAGCGGGTAAAGGCGGAGCCGCAGGAAGAGGAGCAGAACGTGAAAGCGGCGGGATCAAAGTCTTCCACGAATAACCCCGACAAAAAAGCGGAAAAGCCTGTGCAGCTGAAAAAGGAGCCGCCAAGCGCAGATGGGAACAGCAAGGACAAAGTGGTGAAAGTGAAGAAGGAACAAAATAAGAAAAACGATCAACAAATAGAGGTAAAGTACAACGGGGAGATCGATGCGAACATCGACGTAGAGAACTGGGCCACGCAAAAATTAGACCACCAGTCCAGGATACTTCTCAGCATAAATATGCTTGACGCAAAAGTGGAAGAGAGCCAGGCCGCGCTCTACTGGATCTGCGACGCGAGAACGCTTAAGAAGGCGACCAGCTGCATATCCATGATCTGTACAAAAAAAGTTCATGATGTTGATTCGTATAGATACTGTTGCAGGACGAACTCCATACCTAAATCAAAAGCACTCGAGCAGCTTATCAATCTGCTCGCCGCCGTTCCCAAAACCAAAAGCAAAACCTGGTCCCATTTGCGATAAATATCAGGTAAGAAGGCCGCAATCCGAGCACACACGGATTGCATCTACATCACGGGCATGGATGAAGGTCGCACTTGTGTTTGCGAGTGCAAAATTGGCGCTGCTGCGTTCACGAAGTTTCAGAGCAAGGTAGACAAATTCCAGCTCGGCATAGAACTCGAAACCCTGCAGAAAGTTCTTGCGCCTTTCAAGGAACATGACATGGTACACAAAAATACATTTTTCTTTTTTTCGAAATGTAAACGAGTAAACGCTAGTCTGCTACGAGGACAAGCACATTTGGACGATCTGTTTGGATCTCGATAAAGAAGCAAGAAAAGTTGCCGCGCAAGTTGGGATTGGGTTGTTTTGGATGCATTATATTTCTAAGTTTATAGTATAACTACAAGGCCGCAGCTTATGTCGCGCAGTGGGAGGGTGAACGAGTGGACAGGGGGGAAAGAAAAACGCCAGAGGGTGGGCAAGGGAAAAAATTTTTGATGCAGTGCGGGGCCAGGCATCTGCGCCGCTGGCTTCTTGCTGAAAGAACGAAGGCGGAGAGCCATGGCGCCCGTGGTTCCCGTCGTTGTGCGAGCGCGAGGACTCCGCCCGCACTGTGCGCGCGCTTGCGTGGCGGCAAGCCCTAGGCCCCAACAACAACGCAAAGCGCGGCAGCGGGCAGGCGCCAGTGGATGGAGGAAGGAAGCAGGGGAACAGTCCGCGCCATGCGAGGCGCTGGCGCGTGACGCCCCGCCCGCGCGTCTGCGGTGTGGCCCGTTCGTGCCGCCTGCCTGTTTGCCCCGCCCCTGCGCGCCTTGGCGCCACCCCCCGCCCTTCTCCCGCGCGCAGCCTTGCAGAGCAGGGGCTCGCTGGGGCCCCTGTCGCGCGCGTGGATGGAGGACGGGCGCCGGGGTGGGGCATTAATTGCCCTCCAGGCGCAGGGGCCCACCACCCTCCCCCAGTACCCCCGGACAACAACGGCGCCCCCCGCGTTAGCTCGCACGCAATCTGTCCCGCCCCCGCCTGCTTCCCTCGCGCGCACCCTCCAAGACAGAGACGGCGGACGGTGGCGCCCTTTGCCGGCCTCCTCGTGAGCCAACAGTGGGAGGGCGCCGGGGGAGGGTGGTGGGCAGCTGCTCGCCTGCAAGCGTGGTGCTAGCTGGGGCGCTGCTTTCCCTGCGCGAACAGAGGCAGGGCGCCGGGGGAGGGTGGTGGGCAGCTGCTCGCCTGGTGCTTGGCCGCCGGCGGCGTTCGCAGGCACGCCGTGCGTGCCCCCCGCCGTCTGTGCGCCCTCCGCCCGTGCTCCCCGTCTTCCCCGTGCCCCCCACCCGCCTTCCCCGTGCTTCCCGCTTTCCCCGTGCTTCCCGCTTTCTCTGTGCTCCCCGCTTTCCCCGTGCCTCCCGCTGTCCCCGTGCTTCCCGTTTTCCCCGTGCTTCCCGCTTTCCCCGTGCTTCCCGCTTTCCCCGCGCTTCCCGTTTTCCCCGTGCCTCCCGCTTTCCCCGTGCTTCCCGCTTTCCCCAAGCTGCAAAACCGGGGCGGCAGGGTTTTGGGAGATTGTTGCGAAATATTTTCGCCTGGGAATATTTCTCGGGGATTCATTGCAAAATATTTCGGGTCGCAAAATATTTTCGGTCGCGAAATATTTTCGGTCGCGAAATATTTTGGGCCGCGAAATATTTTGGGCCGCGAAATATTTTGGATCGCAAAATGGACTTGCGAAATATTTTGAGTTGCAAAATATTTGAACTTGCGAAATATTTTGAGCCGCAAAATATTTGAAGTCGCCAAATGTTTGGAGTTGCAAAATATTTGGAGCTGCGAAATATTTCGAGTTGCGGTGGGACTTGGGCGATTCGCCGTCTGCGATGGGGCTTCGTTCCTTGGGCGATTCGCCGTTGGGCGATTCGCCGTCTGTGATGGGACTTGGGCGATTCGCCGTTCGGCGATTCGCCGTTTTCCATGGGACTTGGGCGATTCGTTGTTGGGCGGTTCGCCGTTTGCCATGGGACTTGGGCGCTTCGCCGTTGGCCGTTGGCCGATTTCGCAAATCGCGACAGCTTTGGAAAGTCGGAAAACTGGCAAAAAATTTTCGGCGTGGGCGATTTTCCTCCGCGTTGCAAAATTCTAACTGCCCCTGCTCAGCAGGAAAGCTGTAAAACCGGGGACGCGGGTTTTTGAGAGATTGTTGCAAAATATTTCCGTCAGAAAATATTTTTCGGGGATTGCAAAATATTCGGGGTCGCGAAATATTTTTGGTCACGAAATATTTGGGGTCGCAAAATATTTTGGGTCGCGAAATATTTTGGGTCGCAAAATATTTTGCGTCCCAAAATTATTGGACTTGCGAAATATTTTGCGTCGCAAAATATTTGGACTTGCGAAACATTTTGAGTTGCAAAATATTTGGACTTGCGAAATATTAACTTTGGGCCGCGAAATATTTGAAGGCGCAAAACGTTTGGAGTTGCAAAATGTTTCGAATTGCGATGGGACTTGGGCGATTCGCCGTTTGCGATGGGACTTGGGCGATTCGCCGTTGGGCGACTCGCCGTTTGCCATGGGACTTGGGCGATTTGCCGTTGGCCGTTGGCCGATTTCGCAAATCGCGACAGCTTTGGAAAGTTTGAAAACTGCAAAAAAACTTCCGACGTGGGCGATTTTCTTTCCCGGCGCAAAATTTTAACTCACACCGCTCAGCAATAGGAGTTATAAGGGTCAGTCAAGGTCAAGAGCTGAAGGACTCTGAATCTACTTATTTCTCTTCGTACTTATTGATTCCTGTACTACCTAGGTCGTGTTCTGCATGGAGAACCAGAATGACGACTGCATCAAGATCCAAGGCTACCACACATACAAGAGGAACAACGAGTTTGCCTACCTGAAAGTTCGCCTTATGCACGACGACCTCGCAGACGCCATCGGCCTGGGCGTTGGACTGGAAGACAATGACATGTGGAACCTCTTAGAAATGAGCAGCTCGGAGTTCTCGGAAATTTTCAAAGACTACAAGGATCTGACCACCCAGAAAGACGGTACGCACAGGAAGAACCTGCTTTGTTCGTCATTTTTGGGATCTTGTTTCCCTGATAGGAATCGGTCTACTCCTCGACATGCTTGTTTCCTACTTATGATTTTGTGCAAATTTTTCTGATGAAAAAAAGTATCACTACTAGCTCCAGCACTTTGGAGGAAATCGAAATCATGCATTACTACACGACGACAGATAAACCTGGCGTGCATAAGCTGGTCGAGGTCAAGTACACAGTGGACAAGAAGTTTATTGTGGCCCTTCCTGGCGACGTCGCGGGCGTCACCGGCAGCACAACACTCCAGGAGGGCGGGGTGTTGAAGATGTTGAAGCCGCCAGAACCCGAGGAGGGGGACTTTTGTCAATGTGTCAACGCGGACTACATCGCCAAATTTGGCCCAATTGGCTCCGCGATAAGCGACAGAGTAAAGCTCTTCATGAAGGATAACTACCCCTTTGTGGTTCAGTTCAAAGACGACAAGGGTCACCAAGCGAACTTCTACATCATCCCGAGGGTTGGCGGATAGAACTGGAAGTGAGTTGGCGGATAGAACTAGAAGTGAGTACATATGTGGTGCAATAAAGCGCCAGTAAACTACCTGGTTTTCAATGTGTTTCTGACTAGCCTTATCCCGCTTCCCGTGTCCAGTTGTAACCTGCTGACTTAATAGTATTCCGCTAGATGAATAGTAGCACTTCTCATCGTCTCTCTGTGGAGAATCGTTGTCGGCGCTTCAGCACAGGTAGGCCCATCTGCCGGCGATTTTCAAAGCGGGAGAACGGCTTTGGCACGATCCGGCACCGGCCGGCGCGGAGGGCAGGTTGGCCTTTGCCGTCATCTTGCATGCTGGCACCGGCGGGGCCGCGATCTGGCGGCGGGGGGCGGGCATGGTCGGGCACCGGCTCGGCGAGGGCCCGACACCGGCGTGGCTAGGGTCCGGCACCGGCTTGGGCATGATCGGGGGGGCACCGGCACGGCCATGACCTGGCACCGGCGTGGCCACGACCTGGCACCGCCTTGGCCATGATTTGGCACCGACTTGGCCGCGGCCGGGCACTTGCAGGCATGGCCATGATCCCGCACCGGTTTGGCTATGCTCGGGCACAGGCAGGCAGGCTTGGCCATGATTCACCTGGCACCGGCTTGGCCACGACCTGGCACCGCACCGGCTTGGCCATGATCTGGCACCGGCTTGGCTTTGTTACTTATGAGATGATCTGGCCCCGGCTTGGCCATGATTGATTTGGCGCCGGCTTCGGCTTGGCCACGACGGACCCGGGGCCGGCTTGGCTTTGCCATGATCTGGAACCGGCTTGGCAGTGGCCTGAGCGAGCGCCGGCCTTGCCGTGATCTGGCACCGACCGGCCTGGCCACGACCTGGCACCGGCCTGCTTCGAGGCTTCGCTGCTTCGGGGCTTCGCTGCTTCGAGGTTGCGCCGCTTCGGGGCTTCGCTGCTTCGGGGCCTCGAGGCTTCGCTGCTTCGAGGCTTCGAGGCTCTGCTGCTTCGAGGCTCTCCTGCTTCGAGGCTTCGCTGCGTCGAGGCTTCGCTGCTTCGAGGCTTCGC